TTCTTTATGACGGGAATGATAGAGTGAAGAAAAAGAAACCCTTTAGAAATATTGACCAATAACAAGCTTTGAATGCACTTCTTTTTTTTTCGCAAGAATTGCTTGATTCATTAAGGAATATCTCATTCGGTAAGTCAATATACTTTGGCATCTTGGGTATAATAATGTTTGGTGCAATCGATATGAAATGTTTTGTGAAATGATTGCTTCGATAACAAATGTTGGAAAGAATTTCTTGATTTGGTAGAAAATGTTTGATTCAGTGAGAAAAAGTTACTTAAGTAAGACAGGTATGGTTGAGTGAGAAACGTAGGCATGATGAGGCACGAGTCCGTAGAAAATCAAGAAATGTTCAACAACAGGGGACAGATACGAATATTTCATCCCGTAAGGAATGATGAATCCAGTAAGGGATGTTTGATTCGGAAGACAATGTCTGATTCATTGTGAAGGGTATGATTGAGTGGGAACAAGGGATCTGTAAGAGATGCTTCGTCCAATCTGGAACGGGATGCCGTACGAAATGCTTAGTTCCGTGATAAATATTTCATTCTGTAAGAAAGGTGTGGTTGAGTAAAGAATTTGGTTTAGCGAGAGAAAAATCAGATAGAAACGTATGGTACAATCAATATTCAGGAATCACTGTTTCAATTCACAGACTGTGTCTGGTTTAGTAAGGAAAACACGTTTTATATAAGAAACCGGTTTATAAGAAACTTAGTACTAGAGCCCGAAAAATTTAAGAAACTTTTAGAACTATATCAATATTTTTAAGAAACTCCGAAAAAAATAAGATGACTTTCTGAGCTGGAAAATAATACGTCAACAATCCATTTTTGCTTGATTTAAGCTTGCTAACACATTTTTTTTAGAATAACACAGGATGTTGAGTCTATACTTGTAGTTGTAGGTGGTTTTCCGATAACTTTGCCATGAAATACTTGTACAAAATTGTTTTCATTATCAGTGTTTCAGGCAACGTTCAGCAAGCAGTCCTCGTTTTTCTCTCGTGAAGTTTTACGTCATGGCGAATAGAAAAAACAAGCAACGTTCAATTTCGGGTATTCAAAACGAGCAATTCACCAAGGAGAGTCCTATGATTTTACTGTCCCGTTACAAGGTCTTTCGTTCGCTGAAGATGAGAATGTCAGTTTGCATCGATGTCAACCGTGCGGCAAGCGTTTTAAGTCAAAGGCTGGATTGGAAATGCATGAAACTTGGTATACAGTGGTGGGGAAAAGACACCAGCGTAAGCTCTGAGACAAAAATAAGGATTCCAGCAGAAGATAGTAAAGATGTAATAGAATTGGACAGTATTGAGGGTCAAGTCTCAATAACAGTTCGGGAACTTTGATAAATTTAATAGGCGAGGAAAAGCACAAAATTTGATGTTAAATGCTTATCTAAAAAATGAAACTTTTAAAAAACTTTTAGCACTAGATACTGGTGAAAAATTAAGAACCTTTTGGTACTAGGACCCAAGCTAGGTTTCTTTTTAAAAAAACGTGTACTTGATTGTGTGAGAAATGAATGGTTGGTTAGCTCTAGTGAGAAAATAAGATATGGTAACATCATAAGATAAGCTTATCGAGAAATGGTAACAAAGAATGTTCAAGGTACGTTGTATTTGACAAAACGCAAGCAGGAGTAGAATAATTTAAGTTTAAACAGGTGTATGATTCGTCTGAGACACAGTCTTTCATTTTGTAGAGCATGCAAAGTGAGAAATCGCTAGGAGGAAATCCTTTTTTCCCTAAAGTCTTGCCTGGCTGTTCTTATTGAGTTTTCACACTTTTTTATAAAAAATACCTAATTTATGATTCCAAGCCCGGGTACATCTTTTTAAAAACATATCGCGTTAACTTGCATTTGCATTCGTTAAAAAATTCAAATAAAATGATGCGATCAACTTTAATTAGGAATGTGCATGTGACGCAAACAACGGGCCTTCGATCGTCTCCCCCAACAACATCTAATTCGAACGCGCAATTTGAAAAGAAGTGCGGATAAGCGAGGGGAGTCGGAGAGAAAGGAAACTAAACGCTTCTCCGATTTTCCACTTTCCCGTTCTCCCCTCTACTCTTCCATTTCCGCACTGAATTTTTCATGGCTCTGGTACCCAGGCTAACATGGAACATAATCACAATATTTTGATGTTGATGCATCCTTTCATTCAAAGACCAATTGATCTGTACAACAAAACAAAGAGAAGGTGCCATTCTCTTTGTGAGGGATAAAAATTCTAATTGTAGTAAAACATGCGTGAGGAAACTGTGGAAAGTTTATAGAGGCACTTTATGTAACGACTTGCTGTCCCCACCTAGGCAGACCTTTAGAATACCGCACAAACGATCAGTTATAGAAAGCAGCAATAAATCGTTGCAAATTGTTTGCCATCCACCGCAAGATATACCACTGCCTACTGCTATTTTGCCACCATGAAAACCAATAAATCGAAGCCAAATTAAAGCCGGTTGCTATAAAACAACAAGGAATCTCCGTCATTGCCACATTCATAGCGTTCTATAATCTCTAAGGTTAATAGAATTAGCCAGTCGAAAGCTATATTATGAGTTAAGAGTGCAGATTTATAGCTATAAAACCGTTGAACGAATTGCGTGTATACGGCATGGGTAATTTAACTTAATGTATAGACCTCCCTGTCGTTACACATTTCCTTCCGAGGATATTAATCAGCTTAAAAAGAAATAAACACCGAAAAAACAAGCCCCAGATGGCAGATCTATGGGCTGTCCCATTTACTGCGCCATTTAAAGAATATCCTGTTACTTGCGTGAGAAATGTTATGCGCCGAAGTTAGTAAGCCCGACAAAAAGTTTTTCGAAAGTTTTTTACTAAGAATGTAAACTAAGCAAGATGTTATACTATTAACTACTTCAAAAACTAATAAACGGAAGTTTCGCGTGGTATTTTTAGTAGTAAGTTTGATTGGCTTATAAAATCTGCTCGGTTTCGCAAACAGAAGAGTAAATGTTCAAAAATCAGTGCATTATGATCTCTTGCAAAATCGAACATCAGTATTGTTATAAAGTGTGTTCCTTTAATAAGGGTGTAGGCTCTTTTAATGCTGTAAGGTTATCACTGTCAATAACCAAACACATTTCACTTTTGTTATACCAATGAAAAACTGGTCAACCTAAATTATAAAAGAATGATCCAAAAGTGGCAGGAAAATTGGAAACGAGAAAACACAAATCAGGGCCTTTTTAACAAACTTCCCTCCAGCCACAGTGAACTTCCATTGATTTAGACAAAATGCTATTACCCTTCTCTTCATACAAAGAAAAACTTCCCCCTTCCCCCCAATAAGACATTCCCTTCGAAGAGGCTATGACACATAATGTTAAATGATTTCGGCAATGGGAACATTGGAAAAGATGAGCAGAAAGCCACGAGGAGTGCGTTTTGGAACCAAAGCGTTCCATAAAGCTATAAAAGCATTGGGATGAGAAACATATCAAAAATTAACCATACCAACAGAAACAGTGAAGCTAACGAACACGATTGACAACTGAACATTTCGTTTTCAAGGGGACATTGTTATATGTATAAAGTTACAAATTACGATCCGGTTTTGGCAAAGTCGTTAAACCGTTGTCTTTCTCTGCTTATTGCTACGAACATTGAGAGAACAAGTATTCAATCGAGGTTGCCAAACCTTAGCCAATATCAAAAACAATAAAGTTTGACAAATCAGTTTATTCATAAAGTGTGAGAGGAAAAGTCGAAGATACTGTGAGAGAAAATGCAGATTATTTACCAGTCTGCAAGTTCTCCCCACTTCAGGTAAACTCGAAAAATTATAAAAATTAGGAAAAACCATAAACAAAGCTGGTTTCTGGCCTCTTTTGAAAATTTCTTGCTAACCCATGTTTTGATACTGTGACAACATACAATGTCTCAGAGGAGGTCTGCCCTTTTGTCACCTCACCTTTAATTCTACATACAAACTTAGTACTTTGTAGCCAAGATATCTTATTTTGGGATCAAAAGAATGTACTGGGCAAATATACTAAACTATAACATTTGATACTTATAACCTTATCTACCAGTGGGAGGGTTGAAAATGGACAGGGCATAACACATAATCAATTGTAAATATCAAAAATTAACATAGCACCTGAGAAAGAACGTTTAAGGAATACCACATTTAAACATTCACATCACAACACTTGCTATCTCATTTCAGAAATACGTCATTGTCAAATATGTATCATAATGAAAGTGGACCAGATTTTTGACAAATGCAACTCACTTTCAACATCATAAATAACGAATAGCATAGAGGAACAATAACAGGTAGAGACAATTAGGTGACTGTCTGAAGCTTTAGCCCGTTGGAAAAACTAGACAACGCTTCAGGAAAATAAGGTGACAGAAAAAAATGTTTTGTTTACGATTCCAAAGTTTGGAATCACCTGAGGCAAACTGGCAGAAAAAGAATTGTTTGGGAGACAAAGAGACAGAGAGGAAATACCAAGGCAGAGGAGGGACACAGAAGCAGAAGCAGAGAGGAGACACAGAGACAGAGAGTGGGCACAGTGGCGAAGAGAAGACACAGATGCAGAGAAGAGACACAGAGGCAGAGAAGGGACACAGACGGAGAAAAAGGGGAACAGAGGCAGAGATTGGACACAGAGTTAGGGAGGGGGCACAGGGTTAAAAAGGGGGCTCAGGCAGAGAAGTTACCCTGGGATAAGGAGGTGACACAACAACTTATCGCTACATTGTTAATAAGATTGCAAATTGGACTATAAAATCGACGGATAATTGCAATAAGGAAAAAATATTGCGATTAAAGAAATTTTAGTCAAAAAACTAAAAAATGAAAAGAATTGAAAAAGGATGAGAAGAATTTTTCAGAATTTTAATTATTTCTCGTTTATTATTTTCTCTGTAATTTAAAAAAAGGAAATTATAAAATGTTTAGGAAAGATAAATGCCATTGCATAAAATTCAATATAAAACGTTCGACTTACCAGAGACACGAACTTCTACAGTCTTAGAAATGTGCTTTCTACCATTTACCTTTGCCATGCATCTATACGTCCCAGAATCGATGGCCTTTGCTCCTGTAATTCTCAGCTTCTCACTTCTTAGTCTCGTCTTATAAAATCGCCTCGAACTGGCAAGCAACGGCTGACCATCTTTCTCCCACCAAAACATGAGCATCCGTAATCCAAAAGATGGAATCTTCTTGCCTTTCACTTTACAATGCAAGGTGATCAAGTTGTTTGGCTTGATGATTTTTACTTTAGGTGTCACCAAAAGACGTAGGGAATGTGAACCTGAAAAATTGGTGACAGAACTGTAAACCTTTAATTGGATCTTAAGAACAATCTTAGTTAAAATGACAATCTTAAGAACAAACAATCTTTCAAAAAACAATCTTAATATAAAGATATGTTAGCAAATATAATGGATAATATGTGCAAATTTGAATAACAAAAGAAAAGCAAAATTGCAGGCTTGTATGGGTGGATAACACAATTGCGAATTAAATAACAAAAATTATAATTTTGTGACGAACTTCATGCATAGGGACATACCTCAAAAAACGTCACCGTGACAAATATATAAATTTATATGAAGATGAAAGACGAAAAATAGAATCCAGTTCGCATTGTATTCGTTAACTGTGTTTGGGTAGCGGGAAGCGCCCTTCAATAATAACCTATCAGATTCCAAAACGAAAAGTCACAAAACCTTTTTACTTCGTGCGAATATCTAAGAAAAATGGATTCTTTTTTAAAAATCTCGCCCAGCAACCGTTTTTCAAAGATGGAGCGCCCCCTGCCATCCCTGCCAAATGAATGAGCCTGCGAAATTAAGCACCCCTTTCGAACTGAGCGTCCCTGGTAGGCTCATTTCTCTTCGAATCGTTGTCACCTCCCGCCATCTTTGATCTTTCCATAGTTAGATTTCGAGTTATTAGTTAGATTTTCCACGTAGAGCTGATCATACATAAACCAGAATCAACGGAGAAACAAGCATCATTAGCCTAAACGCAATGTCAAGAAAACTTTCTTTGAAGTGCTTCAGTAAATGCAGCTGGGAACGACCTTTGCATTTTCCATAAATAAACTTTAAATATTTGCTCCCTTTTAAGCCATTTTGTTTATCACTTGATATGTAAGTACCGCTCTGCAATTCAACACCGTGGATTAAATTTGGAACCTCCAGAAATTTGTGACAGGCAGTGGACTTAATAATAACTTTTGGTATCAAAATATGAACTATCATCAGTTTCACTTTCGCGATACATCACTGCACAAAATATAGCATGTTTGAACAATATTTCATGCATCATAGCACCGTTTCATATTCCAAGCAATATCTTTTCGATTAAAACTTGATTTCCTGTTTCAGAATGAATCATTAAAATCAAGAAAAAAAGACAGATTTCGGGGGAGAACGTATAAAAACTTAAAATAAAAGCTCCATGCACAATAATGTTTGCGTGTATTGCGCATGTTAGTAGAAATAAGAAAGGAGGTTTAGCCGTTCCTTGTTTTTCTCCATGATAAAAATTATATAAAGAGACTTAGCTGATAAACCCTATTCGTCGAAAAAACTGCTTGCAATAATTTGCACAAGTTTCATTAGAGTTGGTCTACCATCTATGGAATAGACGATGACCGCTTCTGCATCTTTACAGTCGTTAAGGATATAGAAGTCAACTGGTCAACCTTCCCTATATATTGAGAGGTATGCAGTCAAATAACTGATATTTGCATATCTCTTGACTTACTAGTTACTAACGATTTCAACAAACTAACAGGAAAGATGGTGAATCCATCGCTTTCCAAGTCTCAGCCACATCCTGGCATTAACTTAGCACCGCAGAATACAAGACGTCACAAAATAAAAAAGATTTTTACCTTCGGTATAAATATCCGATACAAAGATATAACTGTAAATTATTTAAAAAATACTAAGGGTGAGACAATTGTCGTAGTGTTTTCCAGTGGCTATCTGTTCACTAATGGATTATCAGCTAAGACCTCAATCAAATTCCATAGATTTAAAATAGAGATGCTAATCAAACATATAAATCAAATACGATTTAAAGTTTGCTATGTTTAATATTATCTGTTTGCAAATTATTCATAAATAAGTCACTTAAGGATTATGTACCCTTATTGAGTTTTAATCCAGTGTAAGGCAAGTACGATCAACCTTCTACATAAGCTTTGTTGGTTTCGTCATCAGTGTTTTCGCAAGCGATTAACGTTTTCAGTGCTTGCGGTAGTTCTTAGAATGAGTTAAAAAACCACCCAAGTTGAATTTTTTACCCCTTTCAGTTGCTTAGGCCTGGTTCAAACGTCGCAATTCTCATGTGCCGAACCTAACTCTGTTTGGAGCGACACTTGAGCATGTTTAGCGCGACTCCCGTTTCAAACGTCGAACTTAATCATGTCGCGCCAAATGGGTTTTAGGATTGTTACATGAAGTATCTTTGTTAAGGCGCGCAATCTCAAATATTTGTTTGAAACGCATGCGCCCTCCAAGAAAGAAATGATTTCTGGGAAGGAAAATAAATTAAATATAATTATGCATTGAGTTCGGTACATGACAAGTTCGACGCTTGAAACCGTTCCGTGCTGGAGCCGTGCAGCTCGGCAAGCACTGCCGATCCAAACTAGTCTGCCGCTCCTAACTAAATCTGCCGTACCAAATTGATTCAAACGTCGCGCCCCTCATGTACTTAATTCTCGAGCTAGGTTCGGCACATGAGAAGCGCGACGTTTGAACAAGGCCTTATTCGAGAACCAAATTCTGATAATTCTTTTTTGCTGAGAGAAGCAACAATCAAAAACTCCGATACCTAGTGTGAAAGTCGTACAAATCAAAGATGTCGACCGCATCCCATCCCCTTTTCCTATGGAAGGGTGATCCAAGCATTGTAATTTTTAATCGATAAGAACGCAGGGGGACTAGATCCCAGTAGCATTGTAACGTTCTGCTTTCAGCTATTTGATTCAATCTATTTGTGAGTTATGTCAGTAAGACAGGGGATTTTAAAAAACAATTGTGCAAAATGCCGAAACATGGTTTTTGGTCTTGATTTGGGTACTTGAAGCCTTGGTGAGTATTTTAAGCCATGGATACATTTTAGTAAAACAATAGAAATCAAGTGATGACGTCATTTTCTGCGGTCATAAAATTATCTCTCTATTTTGAAAAATCGCTCAAACTATCTGGTGTTTGGCATTGTAAATAGAAGGAAAAGTTTTAAAGAATGAACTCTATCAGACTTGCAGATAATGAGTTGTTGCTATTTATAGTTTGCATGACTTTATCCTGATAGCAAAATCAAGATTATCTTAATTAGAAGAGTCGTGTCACAATCAACTGTGTCTCTTCAAGGCTTGATCGAGAGGGAAGATCATTAGCATGCGGTTACAGTCCAACAAAATGTTTAGTCTAACAAAGTTTCATCCTAATCCTGCAGGCAAAAGCCCGTTCCACCAAAAATTATGAAAGTGTTTTGATTCCAATGAGAAATCGATTGTGTTCGTATTGTTCTCGAGCTGTCTTCAGCTGTACTCGCATTAAACTTGCATACAACGAGAGAATTTGCCCGGAAAAACATGACAACAAACCTTTTGAAGGAACAGCAATGTCCTTTGAGAGTATCTTGTTTTTTCTTTGTGAAGGACGCAACTTCCAACTTGTGCTGGCAGACAGGCCAAGCTATGAGAAAAAACAAAGCTTTTAATTATTGTGTATTCATAAATCTCTGTTCTTTAGTATTTATCTACCTAATGGATTCAAACTTACACCTTAAAAATTGTTTCAAATACAATTTTTTGGACACAATGCCTATTGACACAAGAAAGGATATAGAAAGGAAAAGAGGAAAAAGAAAGACGTTCAAATCTTTTCAGAAGAGATTACCAGAGGTTTCCTAGTATTCTGTTTCACTACTCTTATGTGCCTAATAAATAACCACTCCCCGCTAAGCAAATTTTCTAGCTCTTTCTGGACACCCACCCCAGTTACGACCCCCACTCGTGTAACTCATTTTTGGCCACTGACCTTGCAGGTTTATCGGAAAAATACTTTTGTTGGAAATCCTCCAGTGATGGGCCAAAGCATATCTTTGACAAGTTTGAATAAACTTCATGAGTTGTTTAGCTTCCTTCTTTGTTACGAAAATGAAAACATGAGATTTCTCACTTTTCATCGATTTTCTCTATTTCTTGCACAAATTTTTCACTAGCATGACGTTTTGCAAAGAAGATGTAATCCACGAAAGCGTACACAGGCAATCAACCCCCCCCCCCCCCCCCCCCCCCCCCCTACTTTTTTGTGAATATGTGACATTGAGCAAAGTCGCTGATGTAGTGGTATCAAATATAGGAGTGGCATTCCAGTGTCATTGTTACATAATGTTATAGTCTGCTTACTGAGTGTCTTGCTTACATAGAAATTTGACTCCCGTATTTTTCTAAATAGTGATTTATTTGTTTTAGCTTCAGAATATTATATGTATATGACAATGTTTTTATTTTGATCAAAGCAGTATTTCCCAGTTACATTTAATAAGAGAATTCAAATCTTCTATCACAAAGGTTAGATCAAAAACCCTTAATGAAATTTGGCATTTCAAGTCTGGCTTTAGAGAAAATTAGCTTAGTTTTAAGTCGATGTCTCGTCTTAATACACAAGTTATTAAATTATACAGGTTATCCTATGACAAGAAATGACAACATGACGATTTTGTTTGTCACAACATTTCAGAAAAGAATCTTGATGTCATAGTTGGCGTGGTTCAGAACATGGATAGAGATTTTGTAATTAGAACTGAACAATAACGCATTCAAAAAGTAAAGCGTTGATTGTCAAAACATCTTCATAACTATGAATGGATTTAGCCAATAACTAACCATAATTTTTAGCCTTTATTAATGCTGATGATATTTCAGCAAACAATATTTAGCCTCTCGATATGATGCAGTCAGACCCAGGCCAAAAATGGACGGAATGCAACGAGAAATTCTAGTAGCGCATAAAGCGAGGTGCAATTCGCTCTTGTAGCAAGAGTTCGAGATTTCTCTGAAAACAAGAGGATTTCTACGGATTAACCGATAGAACAAAAGGATTTCTACCAAAGGTTTGCGATATTTTCATAGATTGATTTCCCCCGTTGGCAATAGTCAATAAGCCTCTAAGAAGTACTAATCGATAGAAAAACTGCAATGATTATCTGAAATTCTACAGATAACTAGGAAGATACATTATCATTGATACTTGGCTAGAAATAAATGAAGATAGATTTTTAAGATTTTATCTTAAATGATAGATAAAAGAAACAAATAGATAAAATAGATAAGAGGATATGAAGAAATAGATAAAATTTTATCTAACGCATAGGGTATTGTGCATATGAGCTCTCGGTACATTTGCTATCAGAAATGCTTAATTATTTTGCATAATAAAAAATTAATTTTGGGCAAAAAAATTATAGCCAAAAACGGTAACACTATTCTTCGATGTTAATCATGAACTGCAGTTTATCAACACTTCTAAAGGTTAGTAGAACTTCAAAATGACTGTTTAAAAAACTATTAAGAGACATCCAAATACAACGATACTAAAACATTATTAGTTTACGCAGTTAAATGCCTTTTCCAGGCTCATTTTACCTTCCTCGACCCTACCCCCTTCTCCTTGACACAACCTAAGAAAGAAATCAGATGGTAACGCTCACACCACGTTCTAGAAAATACTACATTTTACTGTGAATGACTGAACACTTTACCATAATAAACCACATTGAATAGCATTCATAAATCCGAACATTTAACCACTTCCACAATGGTTGGCAAGAGACGGCGCCAGAGTGTGGAAGTTAAGAGACGCGGGTCGTGGCACAGGTAAAAGACACAACGCACAGACAAGCGGGTTCATTGAAAGATAGACGTAGTGAAAGAAAAACGTGAACCAAGGGAGTGGTTAAAAATGTAAAACGCAATTACTGGATTGTCGGATTTGGATAATCTAACCTTTAATTTACTGCGAAATCTTAATCCGTCTTCTCTTTCCTTTTCATTGTCATTTAAAACAGTTTATCTGTAGGGCAGCAAATTGGAATGACCTTTTGATGCCATTCTATGATTGACCGTGACATCTTCAGTCAACTTTGAGATTATGTGAAAATCATGAAATGTGTGGTTTCAGGCAAGTAAGTATACCATGATAATAAAACAGCGAACTTTTACAATGGCCCTCCTCACACTTTTCGTTGCAAAATAGTGCATTTGGTAATACCTATATTAAATTCTTATTTCCCTTGTCAATTTGTTGGCGTATTGAGATTACTAACCAAGAGAAAAGTAATTCCAGAAACTAAAAAAGTTTGGTTTTGAAAAAAAATCAAAGACTCTTCATTCTTATTCAGAATCTTCCCCTTTTTAACAGCTGCTTCCTCAAAAATGTTTAGAAAAAATTATTATCAGGTGCGCAAGGCAAAAAACAGGTGCACATTCCATGTCCGTGTCAAAGGGATGGTGGCTGAGTGTACCAAATTTTGTCGCAAATTTCCATTGAACCCCTCATTGAAATACGTAGACAACCAAATTTGACTACGCTCTTCGTGGACATTTGGCGGAAGAAAAAATTGAAAATTCTTAACTTAACAAAGGAAGTTCTAGTTTCAAGGTTTTCCAAGCTTGAAATAAACCTATTAGCCAATCGTCCAAGCAAAGACAATGATATATAGGTAAGGTTTAGTTACTATTTGCTGCCTGAGAATGGATACAGTGGTGAAGCGCGAAAAAAGGCCCCTGAAAGCGATTGTACTGCAGTATAGAAAATGGAATAACGATAGGAAGGCTACTGGCAGGGCCCATATGGGCTAGGGTACCCTAGGTGGCAAAATCTTGGCAATTGAGTTCAGAAGAATAATTTAGATAAAGGCGTAGAATTTTATTCTTGATTCTAATGCGTCATCATCGGCTCTGGTACCCAGGTTAGGGCTAGGCTAAGGGTTGAGGCAAGAAGGGTTTGCAGAAGTTCAATGGAGTAATGTTTGAAAGGACTATGTGTGAATCTCAAAAAAGCAATGTCCTAATGTTGAACTTAGTTGTAGGTAAACTGACCAAAAAGCTACTGGTAGGCCTCGCATTCACTGGACGAGACTCATCCAGGAGGGCTTATGTGGTCAACAACATGCTAACTGATACTAACTAGCTGACTGGCGCTCTGGAGCTGTGCCGAACAATAATTGAGCATTTTAAAGGAAGTCCTTGTCTTGAAATATTCCTTATCTTATTATACTTCTATGGTGCTTTGTTCCAAGCTTAAGATTTCTATTTAATTTAAATGTTCCATAAACAAGCCATTTTTGTTTAGTATTGGATACTTTTGAACAGCGTATCGTGATTAAAAACAAGCGATTAGGCGTATGGTTTTGATACAGCAAATAATGTTAGTTCAAGAAAATTCAAAGAACAGTCACTCTTCTGAGCCCTCAAAAGAACAGTAACGCTTCAAATCTAATTCTTCGTGTGAAACGAGCATTTGCAAAAATTGAGAACAGGAACGAGAAAATACTCAGAAACTGAAGCCCACGAAATGAGTTTTAACATTGCACTGAGAGAAAATTGCAATATTTAGAACATATACAAATGCTAAAATCCTATTGTGACGTAAATAGAATCATTTAAGAATGAGAGCTACTTAAGACCAAGAAATTCTGAACGCGCATTTTTTTGTCCATTAACCTACATCGAGATTTGATTACAAAAAGTTAAGAATGGAATTTATTGGTTACACGCCTCTTGTCAAGGTTTGAATTAACATGTAAATCAATATGGCCAGGCAAAGGTACACAGTGAGGAGAATATTGAGTATCTTCCAGTAGCATGACTTATTTCCGCTTGTCTTCGGAAGTCTTGAAAGAGTTATTAAGGATAAACTTCAAAGCGCAAGTTAATACTTTGGTGGTAATCTTAATTAGAATTGCTTTAAAATACACCTACCTTTGCAGTGCTATCGGCATAGAGCTCCGGGAGAAGAACTGCCATGATAAAAATTGCTTTAAAAGCCATCTCCTCTTCTCAGTTGACAAAAACTTTTTCTTATCTATTGAACGTTTTTTATTTGGCTTGCCTTCAGATTGGTGGTTACCAATAGGGATTATACGAAGTGACGTTGCAGGACAACGCTGCAAAATTCTGCTGTGTCGCAATGTGCTCGTTTGGCCCCAGTTCGGAACTGTTCGATTACTGATCCACGCGACCGTAATAATCACACAAGTTCACACAAATACGAGGTTGCTACGAAGCGCATAGATTATTGAAACCGGACCACACACGGCAGCACTTCAAAAGGAGTCTATCTCTCAAAAACTAATTCATCTGTTTGGTTTAAGTGCAGAAGTACCGCCTTCTTGTCATCTACAGCGAGGATTGACACGCAAATGTGATGACATTGGATCTACACAACAAACAAAGCATGGGTATCAACTCCCCCAGCCTTGAGAGCCCCATTCCCAGTTCCCTTATAAATATGGAGTTATATTTACCAGCACTCATAAAAAGCCAATTCGATTCGTTTTAATCTTTTAATGACCTAAAAGAATATTCCATTTGTAACTTATAAAATTACGCAATAAATCCTGATACGCTTTAAACAAAAAGTGAGGAATTTTTAATTTTTCTTTCCAAGGACAATTTTATCATCAATGAAGAGATATAAACTGTAATTGTTCACGTTTTTTTTCTTAATAGAGTGCATTTATGAAAGCACATTCATTCCGTTTACCGCAATCAACTGAGTTTAATCTTGATAACTAGAGAAAATATATTGCCCTATATATAGAGCAACATGTAGGGCCAGGTTTCCGAAGACAGCTATTTGCTATCCTGGTTAGGTATTTTTGCTATTTTCAATATCAACAACTGCAAGGGTAAGTTGAGCGTAGGTTCCCTATTTCTCAAAATAAAGATCCAAGGATTGCTAGGCTAATTTTAAAGATAAGTTTAGATGCATTTCTTTGAAGTCCTAAAGTTACTTTAGCCTTTTTTCTAGAGAATCTCTGAAAAATGAAGCTTTACCAGCCATTTGGAAGAGCTTGGACTTCGCCAGCTAGGGTTCGAAGTGCGAGACTAGTTGTGCGAATTCAAGTGGTTCAAGAAGTTGTAATTTCTATAAAGAAATACCTGCTGCCGTATTTCTGGTCTTCTTCCTATAATCGATTTATTAAGCAATATTATTGGTAGGGTATTCAGGCAAAGCTTCAATACAAAACATTTCACTCAGATTTCAATTTGTTGGGTGTCATGAGTATATGGTCCATCAAGTGGTCAAAACTGATGAACCCCAATAACGGAGCGGTGCTGTTTTATCACTTCTGATAATTAACACAGTTGGCTTTATACACAATAACTGTTAGTAAAGGGATATAAGTGTCAATTCTATGGTTAGCAAATAAGGCACAATTGAAAATCAATGTCCAGATTTCTCACGGGATGCACAGGTACGCGTTCTAAGAAGCTAATCAATCACGTTTTTATGCAGGCAGGAGATTAACATATGGATATCCTAAAATATTTCAAAAAGCCATCACCCTGCAGGTTCTCCAAACCATAATTTATGATGTCCCTCTATTGAGAATAAATTAAAGAATGAACTTAACCCTAGGCATTTAACCAAAAGATTATTAGTTTTACAAAAAGATGGCATGCAAGAAACCGACGTCTCGTGTTGCTAAAATTAAACAAACTTAAGCCCCTCTTACTGCCAACGAAGAACGAACAATTAAACTTTAAGGGTACTTGTCATTGGATGGGATACTTCTTACTCTGTCAGGGTGTGCTACAGAATAGATTCAATGGATACAATGTTTGGTGGGAAGGGAGCTTCTAACACACAGGACGTTAACCTGATTTCAAGGCGATTTACCTATATAACATAAAGCACAAAATAAGTTACGTATGTTAGTATATTAAGGATGAACTAAAAATAGGCAAACTTCGTGGAAAATGCAATGAATACTGAGTTGAATTCCCTGTTGTGCAGATTTCGGGTAAGGAAATATTTCAAACAGAAATCGAGCATAATTGCTTTAGACTAAGTAGTTCGTTAGAAGGACATCGGATTGCATACAGGCTTGCTTTCAACCAGGACTAACGAGAGGTTTTGGAGGCCCTGGGGCAAATACGAATGACAAGCCCCCCTGCGAGCGACACGAGCAGAGAGTTTTTGCGACCACGCCCCCCAGATTTGCATAAAATGTATTTCAAAATATTTTTTGAATTCATTTCTTGCAATTGTTTCAAACGCCGTACTAATTTAGGCAAACATTTGCTACATTTTATTAAGCCTATTCTAAAACTGGAGTTCATTACCTTATGAGCCCCCTAGACCTTGAGGCCCTGGGGCAATTTGCCCCTCTTGCCCCTCGCGGCCCAGCTTTTAACCAAAATCAAAGTTTTTCCTAAAACTCATTTGTCCCCCACCTTGCTTACAAGAAATCATAATTTTTTTTTCATTCCTAATTTATGTTAATTACTTTGAAAGATTATGAAAATTGATAATTTTTCCAAAGTGATTATAATTAACTATCAAAGAAACTCAAAAGCATAGTATGGATTAGGAGCAAGGCTTCAATGTTTGCGTATCTCAACATGTCAAAAGATAAGAGTAAGATAACCCAGTGTATGTGTTGAAGAGGATTGATGAAGGGAATCATTAGAGGGCTGAGTCCCTTAAGCTCCCCCTGCTTCCCCTACCCCAGATCTGAACAACTTTAATTCATTATGTTCAGTTGTTCTTTCATGGTTCAGGCTCAAAATTTTACTAGATGTATTATATAAAAGACCAAATGCCTACAGGTGTTAATAAATAAAAGATTTTACATTTACAACACAGATTTCATAATCAGTTTAAGTTAATTCATAAATCATCTGAAATTTAATGTGTGTGCAATTGCCATGATAGTGGCATTAGACAGGAGGAAAAAGAAACTCAAACAGAATTAAGCTTACAAATGATTGAAGTGTTTGTGTAAATGTGCTGACCTTAATGGTTCTTTTAAACAAAGTTTACTATATTTTAAACATAAGCTTTATTTCAGATTCAAAAGCAATCTACATCTACTTCTACATCAATACTGAGCAGGACAGAGTATCGGTATCATGCTCAGAGTGCAAGAAATAATGAAATAATAGTTTGATGGATAAAAAGTGCTAAAAGATGCCACTGATCAATGATTAAATTGAACATTTACTGTAATTATTGTCAAATGAGAAGCTGTAATTTCTGCAATGCAGCAGAAATTATCATTGAATTATCTTTGGTAATCCTAAAACAAACAGCCATAACTACACATAGAGGAACTCTAGTAAATCTGCCTTGCAACAATATTTTATTTTGCTAATGGTATACAAGACATTGCTAGAAGTTCCATGAAGAAAAATGTCGATTAATAAAAGGGAAACATTGCTAAAAGTAACTTTATGGCATGTCCTTATGGTTCTCACTTTGTTTCCTGTTGCGTTGGACCAAACCTTTTTAAACATCTATTGATTGCATAATTGTATGAAAATGCTTCTTTATACTAAAAGCCAGAAACCAATTTACAGCGAAAGATGAAAGACACATCTTATGTTGAGCCTGCAATCCACAGAAAACCAATTGTTGAATCTGAAGGTCGCATGTACAATAGGGTCGAGGCTGTGAAGCCACAAACCTTTGATAGGCCTCCCAAATAATATGCCTACTCCAAGTGTAACACCGATGTTGTCAGTAGTGTTAGTAGATCATTGATCCCCTTTTCTAAACCAACATGGACTTTTAACATTGTTTGTGGGGATATGGTATAATGGGTAGCCCTTTGGGTTTTGATACAAAATCTTTGCTTTTTTTGAATAATATTTCAAATTCTCCTGTGTCTTTTTATTGATTCAGACTCTTTTGTGCATTGCATGTTTTCTTCTAGTCCTAAATTGCATCTGCATTTGCTTAACCTTGTATATTGTCTTGTATTCGAGTATATGTATGCATATGAGTTTAAGGTAAATGCATTCACCTGGATTGATTAACATATTTGTAGTTGAAAGCCATTAAATGATGTTGATTGGCATTGAACTCTGCAAACTGCCCTTGCAGTTGATACAGTTGATCACAATAGTAGTTATTATGTGATACGCTAGCATCTAAAAGAAACAAGACACCCCTCCTTGAAAGTGACCAGCAGGCATAAACGCAGAAGACGCCAGACTTTTAGGGGGCTTAGTACGGAACTTGCTCAACTATTATTGCTTCACTGAATAATCATTGAGATAGAACTGGCCGAATGGCTGCTGAAATCGATTATTTTGTCTGATGATAAGGGGCTGCAGCCCTCCTATCCCAGCCTTCCTTGTTAGTTTTTTTTATTGCCATTGCAAACTGTTATTTAAATGCACTGTGTAGTTATTTTAGTGGCATCTGTATGTCATGGAATTTTAAAATGAAATAAACTAAACTGAAGTGTCTCCTGCCAATAGGCCTACATGGTAAGAGAAGGCGGTGATCATGAACTAACTTAGGCCTAAATAAATCACATGCATATATAGCAAGGTGAATTTTTTTCAAATTAATAATGATGATGAAAGCTTACGAAAAATTTCTTACCCCCATTAATTAAAACTTTGTCTCTATTTCCCTCCACCGACATCTTGCTAAGATAATATTCCATGAACGAGAATCCGCGTGGTCAGCAGAATTCAAAATGGCGCCAATTACACCTTACTGCCTCGCTTGCAGAGTTGGAAATATGCGAGAAACGAGGCCCTGACTTTAGAAAAGTACCATAACATTTGGTAGCAGGGGAATTCATATAAAGTACAATTTTCGAAAATTGTTTGAAGTTTATTTTCCGTTAGAATAATTCTAAAGTTGCCTTTTTGGCAAATAGATAAACATTTCAGCCAAGATCAAGAATATGGATCAAAAATAAGTACGAGCTTAGGAAAAGTTAATGGTTTGATCTATTTTGAAAGAAAATCACTTGTTATCAGGCTAGGTCACAATTACTCTTTGCATCAGTAGATAAAAATGATTTTCCTCAATCCCATTAGTTCTTCAATTTCGTGCAATTCGGACAAATCCTGCCCTCCTCTTTTGTTCGCATGATTATAAGTTGGTATAATCAATCAACAAGACTGAAGTTTGTATCGCCCTTATAAAGTTAACTCTCCTCCCAATGTAAGCCATGTCGCTATGGGTGGTTATTACCCCTGCTTATGAAAAGTATAATCCGTACGGTTTCATACTTGAAGGCGGACTTCTATCTAGAAGAAGACGGGTGATCCATGAATATGCCATAATTACATAGATTAGATTAATCAGTATACAATAAGTCCGTTCACTGTCACAGGCGTGGCAAGAAAACTTACTTATAATCAGGGTCAAATGCAGGGCTATGCAAGAGAACTGATTGACACGCGCTGCTTTCCTAATCATCTAAGAGGCGTTTTTTAGAAACTCTACGGATGAAATAAAGTAGGTTAAGAAGATGTGTCGCCTGCAATCCTGTCAAGAATGAAAAATCTATAAATAAGAAGAATGGTATTCAAAATGAACAGCCTCGATTAAGCAATGCAAAATGCCTATGCACAACAAATTATTTGCATACCTTTAAACTATAAAACGAAAAGTATAATGTAAAACAGTATATGTGAAACACAACATTGTATAAGACTGAGACGAAAAGATAAAGATTAAACGACCAGTAATCAAATATGACATTTGAACTATAATAGTAGAAAAGTGCCTCGCAAAAGTTCTCAAAGTAATATGTGACAGCTTTGAAATTTTTGTTAAGCGCTAAGTTTTAGTGAAAAAAGGTTTTTGTTTAAAGAAAAGTTGGAATAAAAGGCTCATGAGCGTGCGCAAATGCTGGAATTGACGATAAACGCTTATCAGAATTCGACTGCAATTTCAATTCTATTTCTTAAATACTTTTTGTCTGTATCAATATGTTTTTAAAGATCCTCTTCCTCAAACATAAATGCTTTGAAAGGAATTCGAAAGGAAATTACCAAAATGAAAACACATTCCATTCTTTTTTCTTTGATAGTACGTCTTTTGATAGATTATTACAAAATACAATTACATAGATCGTCAAGCCACTGTAGCTAACTTTATAGTCTTGAAATACGATTGAAATTATTACAAGCACAAATAGTTGACATGCAAATCAAGATAACGCTTTCTATACCCTAATTGCTAACACGGCCTTAAAGAGCAAACAAATTGAGGGCTGTACAATATTTCGTTACAATACACTGACGACTCCTAGTGTTTAATCATATTACCAAACTAAACAATGCAGTCCAACTGCCAATGTAAAACAACATTCCTGCTCATCTGAAAACTGTTAAGCCTCGTAAACAAACTTATTATTAATTTCTATAAAACTGATTTACCTTGGCGCTCCTATTATTCAGGACAATAACGTAGTTACATTTTATTGGGTAAATTCATGAATACAGCTTTGTTCTATTGTTACACAACCGATGAATCAAGGGAATCATATTTTGTAAAACATGATTGCTGTAAGGGTAAATCAAAAACAAATACACAAATCCTGCTTCTTAACACTCAAAAGACACTTTAAAGATTCCAAACTATCCCACATATTAAAGATTCTTATGAAAAAATTAGGAACAAATAAATTGTCATCTTTTATAATTACAGGCTTACTTAGGAAACCATATCACCTTATTTGCACCCACTCACAAATAGGCTCGTTATCCACTTGCAAATAATGTAAGCTAAACATCGAGATTAAAACCCTTGCAGTTTCAATAAAAGTTACAAGATGTTACTTTGAACGTGACGTAAAATTAGAGTATCGAGGTTACAAAATAAACAGTGGTTCTTGAGTTATCATGAACTTTTAAAATTGGTAAATAAAAGGTACCACCTTCTAAATAATCATGTTTAGATTGCTAAGTATGAAAAAACAAACATACAATAATTAAATTCCTTAAACCTGAAAGGAAAATTTTGATACTGCTATAAAATAAATAAAGCTTTGTTAAAGAAATTGATAGAACTTAAGTGTAGGGTCCTTAATAGCATTGTTTAATATAGAGCTTTTGGATAACTACCTTAAAACATGTTGAAATAAGACCATTTGAGATAAAACTGTGACAGAAATCTCTCCCTTTCCAGATATCCAACCCATGTCCAAAGTTTTAGAACATCTTGTTGCGTAATTGTTGTATTTAAATAATTGACTGATTCATGCAAGAAAGGCCAATACCGCACTCCACCTCCTTTAAAACCGCGTCGATTATAAAGTGAGATATTCTGACCATCTGAAGGAAATTTTACACATAAAATTTCTGTACAGTGCGAGGGAAGGGAGGTGCTATCGCAAAGTGTGCACAAATTTGATGTAATGTACATGAACTCAGCAGTGGCATCATGGTACTACGACTTAGATCAGCTTTGACATACATTCTCGTTCGCATCATGGTTAACAAGCACAAAAATATATTTGAAATTACAGGCATTATCTAAGTATCATAAAGAAATAAACAATTTCTAATAACGGTAGATATTGACTAGTGCCTGAATAACGGTAGATATCTCGTAATTCCATTTGGTGTAAATTACTTGTGCATACAGAGATCAATATGTAATGTTCGTTTATTGTAGTTTGATCAAACTTGCTACATGAGAGCCTAAAGCGTAGATTCGGGGGCATCTTTATACATCTTTGAACTCTCTTCAAAAGAATTTGTGAGCGTCGATTTATCATCATATTTCGAGCCATACATCTAAAATATATAGAACAGATGACAAATGTTAATCAAATTTGTAATTATAGATTCAGTTCTATTTTACAAGATAAATCATTGTGTGTTTCTATTAACTAAGAACGTAGGATCAACAATTACTTTAATAAATGAAACGTCGTGTCTTCAGAACAACTTAACAGAAAGTTATCAATCAAACAATAAGTAAATTTGTAAACACTTTTGAAAAGAATTTGAAAAAGAGTTCAAGCAATTTTGCTATTTTTGGAGTCGAAATTTGGTGCACTCAATAGCACATATGTCGCTAGGTGGTCTTAAGTTGGTGTCTTAAAATTAAAATAACAAAATCTAAAAAAAGTGCTCAAAGGGGAAAAGTATAATATGTGTATAGAAAAGGAGCAACTTTAAACCAAATATGACGGTTTTTACTTATTGTGTTTACTTGTGTCTATCATCTTAGAAAAGTTAACTAAAATCATTCACTAGTTATTGCCTCCTGCTCTTTTTGAATTTCGGTAAGTTAAATTTTGCAAATAAAATGATGGGATTTTAAAAAATGCATTGGCCATTTTCATCCTGAATTTTGCTAGCTCTTACAGCGCATTGTGTTTTATTTCGGACACTAGTGCATGTGCTGTTAATCGAGGGGCGCTAATATCCGGGGTAATAAGGATTCAGTGGCGGATTCAAGGCGGGAAACTAAGTCTGGCGCCCCTTTTTGGAAAATGTGCGCCCCTTTTGAAGAATGAGAATAAGATGAAAAAAGGTTCTTGGACCGATAGGGTAATTTGCTTCAAGGATTATGTTGTTTATTCTGAAAAGGTATGTGAAATTGTTGTATACAGCGTACTCTTGTAAACAATTTTTGAAAATTTTTTAGCGCCCCCACTACCAACTGCCCCTCCTTCAAATTTGCTCTGGATCCGCCCCTGAGATATTGGCAGGTCAAGTTTTATCTCTAATATCGTGGGAAAACATGACTCTTCGAAGTAAATGCTGGCTAACATGAAAGTGACTGCAAAATGTTATCTCATATGACATACGATGCCTATTCATGCCAATATTAAGCAACATATACTGCTGACCTGACTTCCTGATAAATAGCATGTGCGAACGAAGCATTATTATCCAACAAATCTCTCTACTATATAAAACAGCGATAATAATGAATCATGCTTCTAAAATGACATCCAAAAGTAGAAAGTTCTCATTCTACCTACGTCATCGCTATTAATTATGGACTGACAAAATACAGGTGATCAAGTCTTGTAACTAATTACCAAATTGCCCACCAATCTGCAAAACAAGTTCCTGTAAATATGCATAGAGAGTTTTTGACTATGCGTTCGTTTGCAACAAAGTACAGATTAAGAGCATTTTATAAGAAATTTTCAATACAGGGTAAAGTTTTCAAAAAAGAGCCCAAAGAGAAATAGCCGAAAGAAGCACACAAGTGTATGCTGCATTGAAGCGTTCATTTGAAACCAAAGAAAAAAAAACACAGTTAGGGAAAAAATTAAGAAAAAACAGTGTAGTGTCTACCTCAGCCAGTCACACAACCTTAAACCGTTAAGGGATCTCGTTACTCTGGTTACCAAAGTGACAACAATTCGAGCACAAAAGTAGAAGACAGGACTCAGGAGCGGGAAGCGGAGGAGCATCTTCATGAGAAGAATGAAACGTGGCTCTGGGCAAACTCTTCTTTTCAGAAAGACGCTCCTCCGCTTCCCCCTTCCATCTTCTATTTCCATTCACGAATTTTGTGGCTATGATACCAGGGTAGGATCAAGTTTGCTGTTTGAGCATTGTGGCTAAATAAAAGGAGCACATGTCCATATAGATAAAATATACTGTTTTAAACGTGTACATATAAAATAAATATAAATGGCTTTGAAAAAAGCAAACATTTAGTAAACTAAAGCTTTTCGTCTGACACTCTTCGGAGTTTAAAACGTCAGAACATAGATCGAAAACTCTACGCTAAGAAATATATATACGCAGTTGTGGATCGAAATAGGCCAATCAGAAACACGAGCACATGACTGTAAAGGTTGACCAATCAGTGCCGCTTGCCGATTAGAATGTTACCAATGGAGTCCTAAGGTGAAAACGAACTCCTTTTATCTACACAGTAGCGGTTTTTTCGTGCTTATATAGATAGATTCTAAAACTGCTAGGTGGAACGACGATCGGGCTTTACCAATAATCCGAAACCTGTCGCCATTATAGTTTTTTTGCACAATCTGGGTTTTCTAGCAAATGCTGCCCGATAGCAGAATCGCAGGTTTTAGTAGTAATTTTGGATTTGCAAGACCGAGGTTCCACCTAGCAGTTTTAGAATCTATAACTACTGTTATAACTGTATTTTTTCAACGGTATCAAAGACTTCCACCTCTGTCTTTTTATACTCATCTGTACTATTTCTTCCATTCGTTCAAGGTATTTGCACTTTTCAACCCAATTTGAACTCTACAGGGAACACAATTTCGAGACCAACTTCTTTTTGGAGATGGTCTTATGCTTTCCGAATCTTATATTCACACTAATATTTTTAGTTATACTCTGTTTATAAACTTTCATGCTTATAGATATAGGGTAGAGACTCGTTGGATACTAAAAGCATCTCTTTTGATTCGGCCTTTGCATAAACTGACGACATATACCGCTTTAATTTGGCTTTCCTGACATGAGGTTCTGTTTGAAAAAGCTGTCTGAGGGGGGGGGGGGGAGGGGGGTAAGCCAAATTCCGAACAGGTGCTCAATCAAGCTCCCATGTCTCCACGAAGTCGGTACCTATAGGATTTAATATAAAGCAACCTGTATGGGTCTGTCACTTACGATTTTGGTAATATGTTGATTAAAATCCACGACAAAATTTTGTGACGACGAAGTTCTTAAAATTTGTCCGCAATTTTTTTCGACGAAGTTTACCCGTAGAAAATTTATCTGACGAAATATTTTGTTGTTAGTATATGCCGTCGTCCTTTTCACAGAACAGGACAAAATATATATCCAATTCATAAATTGCAAAAATATACATGAAAGTACAAAGTCAAGAAGAACAGATAGTGTCATTTAAAAGTTGCTTTCAAAAAATAATGGAGGTTAGTGTAAACCGCCAGGGGCCCAAACGAATGAGGGAATTCTGTGATTTTGGCTCTCACTACTAGGAAAGGGCTCTGAAGCCATTACAATGACTCAGAAAACTTTACCCTGATAAAGCCCTACATGCTGTGTTAAATAATAGCTTAACTTCTTTCATTTTTTTCTGTAAGAGAAAAACTTTGTTTGTGTTGCATTATTCCTCTACGATTGGTAATACTCTAATTGGCCTTTTTCAATCTTGTGATTCGCAGAATTTGTTGGACTGCTTTCCCTACCACCAATTTTCTATCTGTTATATCTTAATGTTGTCATTGCAATCTCTAAAAACGCGAAAGATCAATATATCCAAAATAGGACTTTTACATGAAGATTGAACATTGTTGCGACATTTGGGGTGTAACTCTCCGTCAGGCAATGATAAAAAAGTCAAAACAATGTTTAACTTCCATGTATAAAGTCGTATTTTGATTATATCAATTTGTGTTTATTATTCATTCATCGTGAAACACACTGAACTACATTGATCTCCAAAACAGACCGGGCAACTACGTACGTTGTATCAATGGAAACGTGTTGCGTGACCAAAAGAAAATCGAGCTGCCAGAATTAGAAGGAAATCCATCAAGCAACTGACAGAAGATGAAATACGTTCAGCAATCTGCAATAAATCTTTCTACTGAAAGAGGGCGTGGCTCATGCCAAGGCTTTTAAGAAAATTTAGCATTACTTATAAAGTTGACAAAATACTCGAATCTCTTAATACAATCAGAAATATGTTTTTCTGTAAAATGTCAAATTTACCAACCAACTGAGGTCAATTTTGCATTCGTCCGCGGAAGTATACAGACACTGTGTGTCTCAAGGTGATATGCATTGGAAAAATGACAAAAACCATTTCCAGTAAAAATCCTATCAACTATGAATAGCATTTACAAGTGCACGCAGCGGAATTCACCTGCAAAATATCAAGTGATACTAAAATTGACTTTGTTAAATAAAACAGTCTACCTTGGTTAAATCGTAATCTCCATTCGATTTGTAGTCAAGGTAGGTGATCTGAGGAGCTTTGAGCATCTGCTGCTCCTGAAAAAGAAAGTAAAGTCTTTTAGCGCTGGCAGAATGAAAGCTGTAGAATAAAGTGAACGTGATAACAAGATATTAGTAATCGAAGCATTTCGAGCTAGAAATTCAGTTCTCAAAGTAATGTACCAAAAATAGCTTAGCCATTTGCCCTGACATATAACTTATTTCGATAAAATAGCCTCATTGTAGAGCTGTGTCAAGACCGTATCTAATTCAGTCTTTTGTCAATGTGGACTTAGCTCAATAGCATATCCATGCAAACATAAGACCAATACGGTATAAAATCGTAGATCACCTTCATTTTGTGTTGACAGGGCCTAGGCTGCTAGGACCGAGCTAAACGGTGGACCCAAAATGTTGCCAAAGAACCAATGATATAGCAGCAAAGTAATTATGGTAACCACTCGAATCTTATCTTAAATTACACAATTATGTCATCCTTTGGTCATAATTTGCATTGACACAAAGAATTAAACTTCATAGCCTGAAACATGTTAAATCTAAGATCTTTTAGTCAAAGGCAGAATCCATTTTTACTCAAACGGCTAATTCAGGACATGCTTGGAGGGATTCTGGTTTTTAACAACAAATCTAAGCAACTCATTCAATTTAGATTGACACAAATCGCTGCTTCTGGTAACATTTGTACGGCCAAAGCTGTACAGTTTTAGTTGTTGTTGATGTCAGATCTATTAACAAATCCCAGCGAAATGACATGTAATATTACCATATCTATTTTTGAATTGACGTTTTCCTCATAACACGATTAACTATAGGACAGAAAGATATAATGAAAATAGAATAGGGTGAGAACATGAGTAGCTTAGGTCACATGACTGAAGCATAAGGTAATTCTGTGCTGATGATCGGATAAAATTCATAAATGTTATAGACCTCTCTCTGTTAGGTTGAATGTAGTGGATCCGTTGACTCATGCACCTATTTGAGAAATTTATACAATAATTTTGGTCGATTCCCTAGTTTTTTGGCCAGACTAACAGTCTAAAGCCTCGACCTGCTTCAATAGTACTTGACATCTCAAGAAAAGCCGTGGGAGGAGCTGATGCTCAGCCTGCTAGAAGACAGTGTAACTAGCAACCAATGAGGTAACCTCATTGCTAGCAACCACCCTCCAGCATTCCCGCCTCCCTTTAGATAGAGATTGAGCTTTTCAGATGCTGTGAGGAGCATTTTTTGAATGAAAAGAGGCGTGGGCGGGATCAATATTTTGCACTGGACATCAATCTTGTCAATCCCGTTGATTAAAGTAAAAATAATATCGTTTTAGAACTTATGATCATATTAAAACTCTTAAATGACGTTTTAAATTGAAGAATTTTTTAATCAACCTTGTCATTTTCTGGCTGCAGTTTGTTTTTATTTTCCTCAATTTTATGTTAACGACTAAGATCGGACTGGGAAAATTGAATTTATAATTGATTACACACTTTTATATATCTAACTAGCTGTACTTATCAACTAATCCCCGCTGACGTCAGTAATACAGGCAACAGTGGAGAATAATTATTAGAAGGAATATATCTGTATGGTAAAAATCTTTCTCACTTAATCTTGATACTAAAAATAGAATGGTATTTGTGGGGTCGTGTTTATTGAAAATGCAATTTAAAAACTGCCCTGAATTTCATAGAAGGCGCAATTCTTCAAAGCTTTGCCAATTCATTTGCTCGCAAATTAATGTTTTAAAGTAAATCTGCGATTAATAACCAAAAACCATGTAAATTGATATTCTTTCAATTTTTAATTGCAAAGCGATGCAAAAAATTCATAAAAAATAAGGGCACATAGAATCTTTGAGCTAATTTCGAGGCAAATATAGATGTATTCAAAGTCAATAAAAGCACAATCCTTTTAAAGTTGTTAGGACACCTTCCCAATATCATAAAAGCTTTAAAAGTTGTTTCCCCTCAAACCTCCCTTCCTCATTACAATGTTGCTAAATTTCAATGTTGTATGGTTGCTGGTAATCATATAACCAACATTGGTCGTACAAACACCATCATGTAAATATGAGCGTTGATAATTTGGTGACTAGTTAAATCCTTTGCCTGTACACCGTAATTATTTTAGGATTTCAACTATTTTTAGCATGGTTTAAAAATTAGAATTTTTATAAGGGTCTAAAAAACAAACAAATGTCAGGCTATTTTAACTATGATGAAGTCTTAAACATTGAAAAATAATAATTATTCTTTCAGTTTAATAAGGTCACGTTACTCCTTTAGTAGCCTTAGATACATTTGTTAGACATGAAAAAATGGATTAATTAAGCCTTGACATATACCACGTAGAGAACATTTTATGAAAGAGGTTTGCTGGGTAGGGATAAGAATAAGTCTTAATTTACTGTTTGTAAAAATCAAAATTGAATTGTAACGCTTACAAATCTTTCTCCGCCGAAGTTTTTCATTTCAAGGGTACGCAGACGAACCTTTTTGGGAAGCAGGAGGAAAAGCATTAGCAAACGGCTGCTGGGTTGGTTGAAAGTAAAGCTACATGCGGATAAAGCAGCTGACAATCTGTAAAAAGCTTATTTGAGAATGACTTAATTGTTTGAAATTAGCAAAATTATGTGGACCACCTAACGCTTAAATGCACAGAATTTGAAAGACAGAGGTTTGAATTGTAGGAGAGACAAGAAACATATATTTTATTATGAATGGTATTTTTGTATCAGAAAGAAATGGACCAGAATAGATGAAGGGATTAAAAGTTGGTTAAGCCACTTCTGAATGTCGACTTAGTCTCTCTTCTAGAGAAATATATTTGGTTCTATAGGAAGCTCTTAAAGTTAGTTTTTAATAGGAGTATCTAAATATATTCTGAATATGCTGCGATTTTAATGCAAAAAGGAACGTTGAGTATCGGAGGAATGAAGCAAAATAAATCGTCAAATGAAAGGTTAATAGGAACAGTGCTGAATGGTACTAAATGGACTAATGGGCTTTACAGAAAAAGGTACTAAAGTAAGGTAAATTTTGAGTTGTTGCCTTATTTTTCCCATGAAAGGAGATAAAAAAATGATAAATTGCTCCTTACAGATAGAGCTACTAGAAAGCAAAATGCATCTTGCATAACATGCAACCTGCATAGAAACTCCTGTAAACATTTGGAATAAAAAACTTTCAATCTAATAAAAAGAACATTTCAAAGCTTTTGCATAAATTCAATATTTCACAAGAGCTGGATTAGGCACATAATATTTTATCAAAAACACGAGAGACAACCGGATATCATCTGAAGCTAGAGCTAGGACTAAAATACTCTTATAAATCAAAGTTTGATGTAAAAACATGATCAGTATCATAAAATAAACGAAATGACCAGACGACATGAACAACTCATGTTCTAAACGCATCAAACTTTCCATCCCAAACGCAATTGGAAAAGTTATTGAAGCTCTCTAATTCATTATTACTTTTGTCAATACTTTGAGGTAGTGCAAGATCCACTTGCAAAAGAGCCATGTACCTCCAAGCTGTTTCTCGAGGGAGAATATATCTGCAATGAATAAGACATCATTGCAGATATTTGGTATGGTTTCATGTCAGACAACAAGGGATGAACGAAAAGTAAAACATTACCTTGCGTGGAATGCTTGACGATTTACTGCAACAAGATTCCATTATATGCTTGAATTTTATTTCAAACAGCAGCAAGAACAGTGAGAGGCATATGCCAACTGCCAAAATGGCACATATACCAGCCATATCATGAAAACTGAGACGTGATGGTGGGCTAATAGCAAAGTTTTCGTCCTTGCACTCCGCTTGTTCATTCCACCATTTCAGTCGCAGGCCTTGAATGTACCCACTTTCTCTTAGCTTCAAAAAACAATGATCAGCATTAAAAACTAGCACTGCTAAGTTTTGAACTAATCTAAAGTAAGTTACTCGTAACATTTGATAAAGCTGCAAACGTTCCAGGCTGTATGAAGATAAGACAAGATTTTCAACTTGATTTACCAAGATACTAAAACTACTCGATATGTTGTTTTATAATAATACTGGAAAAAGTATATTATATGGTACTAGAGAATTTCACGGTACCTAAAAACCACTTATTCTTCTTACATCATTAATCTTTACAAAATGTTTCATATTTTCATATCTTTACTGCACATAATAATTGCAGAATTTTTCGTAAGAAAGCTGTAATGAATAATCACTGAAAGGTAAAACGCAATATGCTTAAGTTTTTCCTGACGTTGCTCCATGTGTTTCTTGTTGGGGAGACGAGCGAGCGAAAATTTTCAAATGAGTGAGGCAGCCCTCCGTCCTGGATTCAGAGAGCATGCGTAATAATAACTTCGTTCTGTGCGCATGCTCTTTGACTCCATGACGGAGGGTTGCCTCACTTTTTAAAAAACTTTCTCTTGCTCGTCTCCCCAACAATTTCTATTTCTTTTATTTTATTACCGAAATTATTAAAAAAGCCCCAAGGCTTGCTAATTCAAACTCTGTGCTAAAAAGGGTGCATATTTAAAATTGTAGCTCTTTTGTCTACCTACTTTCATATGAAAAAGACCATGATTGCCTTCTATGGGAGCTATTTTTCATCTTTGTTCCTTAATCCCTGTCAATTTGTGTAATCAGCCTCTTATAATCGCAAGCAGAGTTGATATTGGGAATAACCAACACATTTTAAAAACAATTTTAGAGCAGATTAATGTAAATGCGTTAGTTGAGCGATGGCGCCATTCCCAAATAAGGTGGAATTGAAAAGTGGAAAAAAGACTTTTTAGTGTTATGCACTTTTAAAAATAAATCATAATGAGGAATTTGGAAAGAGTTTTTTATGGAGTCTTTTGTTTAAAACATGAATAAGACAACCATGAAAAGCTTAAGAATCATAAAGTGAAGCCTTTGAAAACATGGAGAAGACATATAAAAGATGGAAAATGAAAAGCATAAAGAAAGAAGAATTCCAAAAAATACAGCGAAACCTTTATAAACATGAAGGAAAGCCCCTAAGCAAAATGCAAGGCTTTAAAATCAAGGAGAACTGTGTGAAAGCGTTTTAAAAGTAAAAAAAACGTAAAGAAGCTTAGAGGAACCCTCTGTTTTTTGAATAGACCTTTAAACGAATTGAGAAGATAAATAAGAGAAAACGAGAAGTTAGCTAAAGATACCTAAGCGTTAAAGAAAGGAAGAAACAAAATTTTTAAAGCTTCTGCTAGAGCAGATAAAAGAAGAGAAAAATGAAATAAAAACGGGAGGAGTAAATTATCAAGCAATCTAGCAAAGTAAAAACGTTTTCTAAATATTAGTAGTGTCAGTGGATATCAAGTAACTTGAACATACTTCCAAGACTTTGGAAATGATCGTAGAGGGTATACTGAGAACTGGTTTCAAAACAAAGGAGTACTAGCAGCACGGTTTTATACATAGAATGGAGCAATAGAAATTAATATGAGTAGAATGAAGAACAAGAAGAAGAGGAACAAGAAGAGAAAAAAGAAGCAATGGAAAAAATGAAAACAATAAACAGCATAAAGAAGAAGAAACGAGGGAGAAGAAAGTAAAAGAAGGTAAAATAAAAAAATTAAAAAGGTGTAGGATGTAGTAGATAGAGATGAAGAATAGGAAGAAGAAGAAGAAGAGGAAGAAAAAGAAGAGGAAGAAGAAAGAAAAAAGCGGATTAAGACATAAGTTGAAGAAGAAAGGTAATAGAAGAAGAGAAACAGAAAAAAAGAAGAAACAATAAAGTAGAGAGAGAAGTAAAGGCAGCAAAATTAATAAATAAATAAGACCAAGAAACAGAAATAGAAGAAAGAAGTATTGAAGAGAAAGTTAAAGAAAAGAAATAAAAGAAATGAGGAGTAAACATCAAAAGAAGAAGAAAAGAAGAAGAAGAAGAAGAAGAAGAAGAAGAAGAAGAAGAAGAAGAAGAAGAAGAAGAAGAAGAAGAAGAAGAAGAAGAAGAAGAAGAAGAAGAAGAAGAAGAAGAAGAAGAAGAAGAAGAAGAAGAAGAAGAAGAAGAAGAAGGATAATAGCAGCAAAAGAAGAATATAAAGAGAAAGACAATGACAAAAATATAACGGACACATTAGATAAGGACACACAACACAATAGATGAGGTTAGAAAAATTGTTGTAGATAAGTTGTTACGCCTTTGAACGACATTAAAGACTATTAAAAGTTCCATCAATCTAGTTTATCTATTCTAACCAAAATGGTTTAAAATGTAGGCTGGCGACGTCAAACAAAAGTAAAGGGCTTAAAAAAGTCAAAGGCCAACATTTTTGATATGATTATCTTCTTTCATAAACCTAGTACCAGGAAAACGTTTTAGAGACTAAAAGCATCAAGGGGCGGGTAGCAGAACCCATGTCTTTTGTTTACAAAGCCTTAGTTTCTTGGCCTCCGGATACATGTAGCGGAGGTTAAACGTTTAGGGGTGCTTAGTACAAGTCCTCTTCGAATATTATTGCTTCATTGAAATAAAATTGCTTGCTTGAGCCTGAAATCTGATAAACTTGGCCCCAGTCCCGATGCCTCCTACGCCATTGTTCGTATACAAAGCAAAACAAACATTACTTCTAAAAACATAAAGATAAGTTGGTCTTAGGAACACTATAAAAGAGGTCTAGCTCTCAACTGTGCTCTGTAACAAAATGCATTATTATGACTAAAGCATAATAAGTAGTAAACTCGCCTTTAAGAGATGGACAGAAAAGTGATTGGTCCATTCAGAATTAAGTTGAAGACCAAAAGCGTAGCTGCCCATACCCAGAACGTGCTTGACTATTTTGGTATTACAAGGCTGTTTTGCATTAAAGTATTCCAATAATGGCTGATCGCCAATAAAGGCGTAATCTTCTTCTTTCACTCTTTCCAAAGCTTTCTCCAAGGACACAACGAGAGTTCCAATGGAAACCATATGCTTGTACATTTTTCGATGAAGAGGCTGTTGCGATGTTTCTAGCAGTTTACGCGTCTGTCCGTCCCGTAAAGTTCCGTATATATATTTACCGTCATTTATTGTATCCTCCAGTGACGTTATCATCGTTTCTGGTTTTGCAGCTGTAAATGAAATTAAAGTAGAAGCTAACGTACTACTGCACAAAAAGCTCAGCAAAAAGGTCACTTCTTTATGTTTAAATATGATTTTTACAAAGAGTAATGATTTGTTATGATCACCACATGCGGCTTTCAATCTTTGAGCCAAAAAGAATTCTTCAATTGCAAATAATCATTCCTTGATGGCAATGCTAAGTTAAGTGTAGAATTACTGTTTGGTTCATTGTAAATTAATTCACAAAATTGGCACAATCAATTGAATGATTTGTAATAAATCATTTGGTTGCAAAATTTTGTTTTTTCTATATCTACTTTATTGTAAGTAGCAGATGGGTAAAGATTATCCTCAGAAGAAGCATGTCTATGAGTGATAAAGGAACATGTTCGATTTTGGGTTGTTAACAACAATACTCTTTCACCAAGGATATAGGTGCTTAAAGGTCCTGGTCAGTCTATGTGCTTCCTAGCGATCTCGTATTAAAAAATCAGTTTATGTGATAACAGTCCATCAGTCAATATTCTTAGTTTGATTCACACTAATCAAAACAGAATTACTATGCTAAAATTCAGTTGCAGAAACATCAAATCAAATGGGGCTTACTCATATAAAAGCCAGCCAGGCTTGCAACATAGGCTGCCATGATGATGGTTACGAAAAACCAAAAAGAGGTCGAAAGAATCCTGCCTGCGATACTACGTGGTGTCTGATCAGGGCCTTGTTGCAGCAAAGAGGCTGTTGCAAACCAAAACGAGTTCGCAAAATTGAATTCACTTCCGCTGTAATCGGGACTGGCTTCAGCAAGTTTGCGGTATCCCATTGGACTGAACCGTTCTATTAGAAACATTATCAAAGCAACCACCAGGGCCTAGAAAGCAACGAGTCTTTACCTCAGTATCAGGATTTCACAACGCAAAATTAAGGTTCTTAAGCATTAATTGCTATAAATCACAATGACTGTATAAATAAATATTAGATTAACCATTTGTAAGGCTATGGGCAACTTTAAGACAGGCAGATTTTGCTTAGTAAACACAAAGTGAGCTTCTGATATGATACACAAGGTGAACAGTTCTGTCTAAGCACGACAAAAGGAACGCAGTGCTGCTACTCACAGAGCCTAGAATTGAAATCCAGACGCCGACAGTAAACGGCTTTAGAAAATGGAAACTATCTCCACCATGCCGTGAAGGTTTCTTGATGAGAATAGCCTGTGTAAAATCCATGAATGACGCACTGAAGTCAATTACACTCTCCCGATCTGACGTGACAAGCAGAGGGCCTATGGCTATGTCTGCTTCCTGCGACAAAATGTAAAGAGAGTATATTATCTGACAAAAGAAAATGATGTAACCAAATTTGTGGCTTTCGTTGTTCTGTTTATCTATATACTTTTGTTATATACTTTTGGGGCTGCTCTCAGCTCGGAGCGTAAGGCAATTTGTCCCCTGCCCCCTCTCTAAAAGAGCTGCATTTGACTGTTATTGTTCTTTTCTTTTTCTTTCTTTATCCAAAGTTGGTACAAATTGTAGCTATGCATACTCAAGCTAATTAAAACCAACTAATTTAAATTACCAACGCTAAATATAATTTAAATCAAATGTAACAGATGTTGCTAACATATTCCTTGCAAAGATTACAAATAAAATTAAACGATGTAAATTCTGAGACTTTTCTCTTGAATATTTGTAAAGTACTTTATCTCGTTTGGAAGTGAGTTCCATGTTTGGCTACATCTGTAATAAACGGTATTAAATCCATATATTTTGTAAGGTGGCTCAGCTGTAAGGTGGAAGTTTCTTAAGTAATATGGGCATTCATTTATGGAAAATATTTCATCCATAAAAGGTGGATTCAAACCGTTAAATGTTTTGTAAATTTCTATCGCAAGATATTGTAAAATCTTCTTATGAGAAGTTATTGCTTTATTCTTTATTAAAAGTTATTCAAAAGTTGATTCGTTATCAGCATGAGCTATTCTCGTTGCTCTTTCATGAATCCGGTTTATCCGGTTATTACCTTTCCTATTGCAAAACAACCAAATAAGAGGACAATATTTAAAATATGATAATATGAACATTTTCATTAAAAGAATTCGCTTAGATTTGTCCATATATGAAGCGATCCTGGCTAGAGCGTTTACCTTATTCCCAGCTTCTTTACAAAAAACTTCAATATGTTCTTCTAATCTAAGTTGATGGTCTAGTGTTAGTCCCAAAAGTTAACATTCTTACTTTCTATTATAGTAGAACCATTTATTTGAATTTTAGATTCCTCTAAATTGGATCGATTGGCTTTAAATGTTATAAGCTTGCTTTTATCGCCATTGAGCACCAACAAATTATCATAAAACCAATTATTAAGAATAGCTTCTTCCGATTCTGAGTCGTCAGTTAGTTCGTTCATATCAGTACTTGACAGCTACATTGTATTATCATCTGCATAGTTGCATAAGTTGCTTTTGTTCAAATGCAGAAAAATATCGTTTATGTAAATATTTAAAAGCAACGGGCCTAAGATTGATCCTTGAGGAACCTCTTGCTTTGTTTCCATCCAATCACTAAAACTGAGTTTATTTATACTCGTTGCACCCTTTTATCTAGATAACTATACATAAATTCCATTACGTTGTCGCTGAAGCCATAAAATTTCAATTTGGCTAGTAGAAGTACATGCGGTAAACAATCAAAAGTTTTTGATAAACCCATAAGCACTGCACCAGCCACATCTTTTTTATCCAGACACTTTTTCAGGCCTCCAATAAGTCGTAATACGAAGACTGTGTCTGATTAGACAACTATTGTCACGTAAAAAGACATCGCTTTCTCAAACACATCTAATAAATGAGGAATTTTCCAAAAATTGGAAGATGTGGTCGACAAAAAGTTTCCCCGGACCCCCTGATGTCGGACTCCTCCTTGCCCCTCAAATCTTTCAACCCTAGCTAAGACACTGACCACTTTGGTACGTTTCTGTCTACTGGCCTAAGATGAAATGCAACAGCTACCTTTTTAATAAGCTCTCCAACCATACCACTCCAGGACATGTTCTGTCTTCTTTTTCCAAATTCAGGTGTTGGCTCCAGAATGTCATACTGGAAATTCAAATCTTCGGCAAGTTTATCCAAAATATCTTTGCAAAATCCGGAAAATCTATCATTGGGCTTTTCAAATCTTAGCGATGGATTGTAAAATATGAAGGGCTCTTCCTGAAATGAAATTGCATTATTCATATAACTTTACTTCGTAAAGAGTCTTTGCATTTTACTGCAATAGATTATGTTTCGGCTATAAAAAGGTTGCAACGGCAACATAGAATATAGTGAAAAACAAATTTTAGAACAGTACTTGGTACAGGATGTCAGAATACTGGTTTCAAACCAATAAACACACTGCACTGAGGTCCGGATTTTTTCGTAAAATTTTGACAAAACGTTGCTTGAACAATAAGCCTAAACCTACAATTCACTGTTTTTCGAACTTTTATGGAAAAATTTTCCTTAAAATATGACCCTTTAGCCGCCCCTAGAATTAAATTTCTACGACTCCCCTGCCTAAAGTTCGGCACAAAAAAGGTGATGAAATTGGGCATTCACTCACAACTTTGGCAACAACACGCAAGTGTCTTCTTTTTGGTTGGTATGCGCGGGAAGATGCGCTCGGTTGGTTCTTCACTGTAGCACATGTCACCAGCTTTTGTTGTTGTTTTGCAAATGAAGATTCGGGATTCCACTTGAACGCCTCGCAAGGCACCGACCATGTGCCGAGCTAGATACAAAAACAAACAAGCAATTTATAATGATTTACATAAACGAATCTTGGAAAATAGTACCGTTAGAGTACCGTAGAGCACCGTTATTTTTACCGGGAATATAATTTACGCAGCTAATAGATATAAGCATAACGTGTTCTTGGTGCGATTGAAAGTAGGAAAAACCAAATTGAACTCCTGACAAAAAAATTTTAATAGAATCATAAAAATTCATAAGGGATTCTTTCTGTTCATATGATACAACTTTGAAGCTTCAAAATCTTTATTTTAAATGGCTGCTAAGTATTCGTTTTGAAAAAGAGGCGTAGAAAAAGTTCACGAGCGTTCGGAAAAACCTTTATGAAGATTTTAATATAATCTAATGAAAATGAGTGCAAACCTTTATCTTCTTGCCTCTGGTAATTTCATTAGAATCTAGAAATGTGATATTTCTATACTTTGTCGTTGTAAATTTCACGTCACCTGTCAGACCACGAAACATTACCTGTAGAGAAAGAAAAGAAAGACCAATGAATAATTGCAACTTTGTTATAAATCAGTCTAAGATTTTTCAGGAAAATGAAGACTTGCGAGCAACTTCGACACAAAATACTTGAAATTGCACTCTTTTTTTAAAAACCAGAAAATTGAATTTCAAGCTGGCTGTTTTTAATTTTTCGATAATCTGAGGCTGGATTGTTCTTTATTTGTTCTTAAACTATTAGGGCGTAAGTAGTGCAATTGTCAGCTTTTGGGCTCAAAGAAGGTGTTTAGGCCTTATTTGCCAACAAAGTGATTGGGACATCCCTTATTTGCCAGCAATTTTAAAATTCACCAAAAAGGTACCGAGGATTCTTGTGTTGGGGAAAGAAAGAAAGGGTGACCATTGATGTAAATAACAAGAAGCCGTGTATTGATGGTCAGGGTGCATTCCATTTATTTAGGCCCAAAAACCTTCGGCGTACAGTCAGGTTTTGATGTCAGCTCAATAAATGGAGCTGAAGAGTGTCATTAACTCTTATTTAGAGGAGACATTTTTCATTTTTTATAGCCTATGGAGCAAAAATAGTTGGAGGCATTTACAGTTTGCAATATTTTCGACTGCTTATCGCAAGGCGGGGATAAGAAACTTTGACCCACTTAGAGTTTTGAATCGAGGCGCTGAAACTGCTGGAACTTTAGAGAGAAAAAAATGAGAGAAATTATTAAAAGACCGAAGAAGCACCAGCTCAGCCAGAGAAGATAGTTAAGACAAGCTGGATATCTTATTTGTTGATGACGAAGGAGTGCCAAAAACTGATAAAAGATATGTACTGGATGTATCAAAAATATTAAATTTGTTAGTTTGCAAGTAAATCGGTGTAAACACGTTTTCTCTAGTGTTGTCAGCAAATCTAATTTCGATAACAAAAAATTTAGGTTCCCAAGAAATGCTGTGTGATTAATTTTTGGATTCCCCAACTTTATGTACTTTTTCTTCACTCCAATTCACTTCATTCAAAACACACAGCTTAACAGAATACTTCCGCTTTCTCGTTCCCTTCTCCTCCCAGGGGCGTCGTGGCCGAAGGGCAGGGGGGCCGTGCCTTCTGCTTTCAAAATCTGACAGATTTTCGGAAAAATTGTCGAAAAACATTGTTTTGTCGGTAAATCTTCAAAGCTGATCAATGGGTAATTCTCAAACTTTTTGCAAGATAAATTACTTGAACAAAAGAACTTACCGTAATTTCGAGGGGCAATTCACTTTTGTAAAGAAAGTACTAGATTTCCACAAATGATTTCTCAGAATTTAGCTATTCCTACCATATGGTGATTTGCTTCTCGGATTTTGTCAGTTAAAATCCGAATCTTCAAAGGCCAAATTTAATTATGGAAATTGGCCAATATTGGTCATGAATTTTATCTTTATTCATTATTGAAGACCAGTACAGTGCCAATTTTGTGCCTATCAACAGATTTTTGAAAACATTGTCCCAGATTTGAAAATTTATTCAGTTATGTTGCGTAAGATAAGACCAAGGAAGAAATCGATCAAAACCATCGCTTTCCCCCAGTGGATAGTCAATTTAAGGATAAGATTTTATTAATAGGTTCTTCAAAGATTACGATTTTCGGCGAATCTGAAGCATTAGATTAAAACATTTTTCCCTTCGGCGGCGCCTCAGGTAGTCATTTCCTTTTACCCTTGACCTAATCTAGGGATGTTAGAAACAGAGAAAAGATAAAAGTACATGTTAATTATCTTTCCAGCTAAGGCAAAAGTTATGAGTTTTTCTGACCTACTCCTCCCTTCACACTAACATGAAATGCTTCTATTTGATTTATCTAAATTAAATAAATTTTGTCGGAAAATTCTTCTTTCTGGCCCCCTCTATAATTCATTCACCACGACGCCCCTGCCTCCTCGGTTTTAAGAGCAGGCTTCAAAGTTGCAGCTAGGAAATCTAAACATCGTCTGTTGACCACAACAGGGAGCAATATATGACACAAATGTTGATTGGGTCATGGCAACACAACGTGCTTCGATTGTAGAATCGCATGTTTTATTAGATTTTTCACAGCAAGTTACTGCGAAGTGTTCTACCCGTGTACGATCAATTTTGATGTTCCTAGCCAAATATTACAAGCAAGCAATTTTGGCGCCCCCTTATATCCATTTGCACCCATATTCAAGGGGGCCATGGCTCCCTGCTAGCCAAGTGCCATTTTTCAAGGCCTAGGTAGAATGGCAGTAGCAAAGGAGTATCTATCCTTTACCCCGACTTGCTATGAAAGCAAAGCTACCCCCGGTTATGAAATGCAATGGTGGTATAACACAATCGTAGTATCAACAATCAAACAAATTATCTGTGCTACATCTTTACAAAAATACAACCATTACCTCCGAAAGATGCTCTGCTAACGGCTTACATCTCGAGTCCAATTCTGCTTTGCGAACTGGACAATACTTTTTTGGAACTTGACGATGAACAACACAAGTTTCCCCAACAGATGCCTTGATTGCATATGCAATAGATGTTAAAGCATCGTGCAACAATGGGTCCACTTCCTAGAATAAACCATCATCAAGCAAATTAACATGGTAAGTCTCAAAACCAACGCAAAATTTGAAGAAGGCACGATGTTGGGGAAAACATAGTTTACTAAAGCATCTTTCGCCTGACCCTCTTCAGAGTTTAAACGACATATAATGACCGAAAGCAAGCAAGAAATGTATATCAAGGTGTGGATCGAAAGCAACTTGAGAGGAACAAAGAGGTGTTTTATTGGTTCTTTTGATTGGATTGGTTCTCACGTTGATTGGAAAGAATACTGACTAGCTAATGGTAAAAAAGAGACCTGTAAAATTATATGGGAAAAGACTACCGTTTTTATTCTAATAAGTGCCCACGCCCATTTGAACAGTTCTTTAACAAACGCTCTTGTTTTATAAACAGTATCAATTACACCCCTCTCTAACAAAGATAGAAACAATACTAAGAAATATTGATATGGACTTATTTGTGCTCCGTAAACGTAAGATATTTTCGCTTTCGTTGTGAATCAGTTAAAAAATACAAATTATTTTGTTTCTATTATTTTGCTGTTTAGAAGTTTTGTCACTTGTTTATCGCAAAAGCGTGTAACACGCCCTAAAACTGAAGACTTGAATAATACCTAGGGTTTATAGGGGACATTACGGTATACATTCAAAAGAGTCAGATCAAATTATAAAGGCTTGTGATAGACAATTGTTTCCTACGTTTCTTAAGCTGGCAAAAGGCGCATCGTTTAGTACTTATACTGTTGTTTGTCTAGTCTAGTCTTTTTTCTCCAATTTCTCAAATCATAGAATAATGTTTTTTCGTAAAGATGTGTTGTACGTTTGGAAAACGTATGATTCAAGAGTAATGTTTCGTTAAGTTGGTAGAATATCGAAGAATTTAGTTGAATTCAGTAGAATATCGTAGAATATAGCTAAATTCAGTAGAATTCGTAGAATTTAGTTGAATTCGATATAAGTTCGTAGAATTCAGTAAAATTTCGTAGAATTTAAAACAACGTCATTATATCTTTCATTTCATACTGTCAAGAAATGTAAGCATAAAGACTTGCATTTGTGTTTTCCTCGAGTATAGTTCCCATATCATACAAAGTTTTTGTTGTTTTATTTAACTCTTCATGGTCGACTGGCAAGGCAAGAGACAAAAACCCTTCAAATGTCTTCAATATATTTGAACTCTTGGCATCCTAAAAGCAAGAAAACAACAAGTTATTTGTGTCCTACATAGCTATAATTTTCAACCTGGCATTTGCTTCAAAAATAGAAGGTAACATTGCATACAGAGGAATAGGGTGTGTGGGAATGGACACAAGATCATAAAATGTATACAAATTTAGTCTTTATCTATCTAATCTTTGGGTAGCTTATTTAATGGAATCAGCCCAAAGATTTTGATGAAAAATCAACTTTTAATAAAAAAATAAAATCAACAGTTTTAAGGCTTGTGTAGGAGTCTCCTATGTTCGCTGTGTCGAAATGTGTAAAAAGCTGCTCTAAATGATTGTCTGTTTGAAGTGTCAAGGAACGGCATTGTGGTGATGGTTCAGTAGTTTGGAACACGTTAGTCCTGAATGTGGAGAATTGGAGAGGGTAATGTAAAAGAGAAGGTAAATCTTTTCTCCAAAGCAGTACCTTAAAGAGCATCAGCCCTAGAGCTATCTGTTCCTTCAGAAAATAAAAATAATTGCAAAGAAATTCAAAGTCAAAATGATCATCTAATTGTCACAAACGCAAACCTAGCTCAAAATGTTTGCTAGAAGGATTTTCCGTCTTCTTTAACAAAGAAAACAGTTTCAAAACTTACCAACACTGGCAAAAACCATCGATACGCATGTAGGTTTTTGAAGTTCTGTGACTGAACCTTCAGTTAACAAAAAAACTATCAATAAACATCAATTAATGGCCTTAGTTAATGGACTGATTAAATTATCTCCTAGGTAAAGAGCTCATAAGTGATGACGTCACAAAAACTTCACTTAGAAATTTCTTTAATTCTTAAATCACATAACCAGATAGAGCAACGTGCTGTGCGGACACGGGACAAAATAATTGAGATATGGCCACACAAGCTCCGCCACTCTAACAGTTAAACCTTTGAAACGGGTCTCTCCTCATGACTTAATGAACAAAGCCAAAATACTATTAATCCGTTGGTAAATTCCAAATCTTCCATTGGCTAAAATTTCAACAAGTTTTTTCTATAAATTTAATGGATTTTGCATTTTTTAAAATATTTCATTGTGTTCTTTAATACTAAATGCTCAAAATATAAAATTCTAAAATAAGTTTTTTTGACGTCATACATACGTAAAATTAACGCTATGAAATGCCAGCTTTGAATATATTTACATGCTAAAGATAGCTGTCCTCTTAATTGGTCTATGCATGTTTATACAGCTAATATATGATTATCTTCTGATCTTCCTGGACAGTTCAAAGAACCAGAAATTGCATGAAGTAATTGCATGAAGAAGCAAAGTCTTTGTAACGCAAAGTCTTGTTGAAAACCTACGAGCTCTTATACAGGGAATAGAACTACAAGAAGTTAGCCCACAAGTTTTGTTCAAATATTTTCAAAAACAATGTACTCAGAACTTCAAACATAAATTGTGATTTATGACATTGAAAAACGTATAGCCAAGATGTACCTGCTTCATAAACGTGTAGGCGTTCTCCTGTTGCATGATCAACAAAACTTTAATGGCTCCGAACTCCTTCAATTCTTTGACAGCTCGATATACCGAATGATTATCAGTGAAGTTGATGCTTGAAATCGTCTGGAAGCTGAAGTGATTTACTTGGTGTTCGTGTGACATGACAGCTGTTGCAAAATCACCGAAACCAACTAAAATTTAACAATGCGAGGGTCATTTATGTCGTGTTTGAGCAAGAAAGAATTTTCTCGAGATTGTATTTTTATTACTAGAAGACAGCTAATACCAATAGACGGATCGAAAAAAGACTCCTGATACCAATATAATTCTTTCAACAGGGAGCCAGTGGCAGTGACAGTCGTTCATATACAGTATTTCTTCAAGAAGTTTATAAAGTTCAATAGATAGGGCTGGGTTAAAGAGACAGAGATCTGTCTAGAAAGATGGTTAAAACGCTTTAAGATCAGTTCTGAAATTGGAGACAGGGCTACAATGGCTGGGAGGAAGATATATTTCTCCTATCCTAAAATTCCAAAATTTTCACAAAAGATTTGAAAACTTGTCAACCCTTTAGACTTTTTCGGGACACTTATCGTCAGCCCAATCAAAAATTTCACAGCCACTGCGCTCTTGTAGAAAAGGTTAAAAAAAACTGAATTGGAAAGATACACTCATGGCTTCTCGATAAAGTTTGTCCACAAATTGTCCTTAAATGAAAAGTGACTTTGTTGGATGCAAATCTTTGCTCGACAAAATTGACTTACATATAATGTTCCTAGCTTTATCAAACACATCCGTAGATGAAAAATCAAATTTTATGATCAAAGTAAATATTCTGATTCACATCAGCTCAAAAAATTGATGGCTTATTTTTGAGGCAAATTTAGATAAAAGAAGACAATATTGGATATAAGAGAAAATATTGGACTTGAAATGTACCTTCTGTGACAACAGCTACTACTCTCGGCCTAGTCTCCTTTACCATGGCAACCAGAGCTTGATTCAGTATAGAAAGATCCGGTCGCATACTTATTATGTTATTGCAGAATAGCTTCGGCCCATAGTTCAGTGCAATCATTGGGACTCTTAGCATTTCTCCAAGAATGCAGATCTGGTCGATGTGTTGTGGAAGCAAGAAAGCAGTTGCGTTCCCCAAGATATACTGGTACGGACCATATAGAAAGTCTTGAAAATGAACAGAAATTTTGATAAAGACGAGTATAGCCTATCTGCGAGAATTCACATGATGGAAAATTTCATGAAAAAGCTAAAGTACGAAGCAAGAAATTAAGAAACATTCAACAAAATTTATTGTTACAGCAGACTGTTTCATCTTTTTTATCAAAACATTGAAAACTAGGAACTTACCTTTTTCAAAAATGCCACCTGAACCAACAAACGCTTTTTGTACTACTAGCTTGATAAATGTGCCTCGTAGTACTGTCGACCTCGTGTTGATGTATGCAATGCTGTGTTCAATAGCCGTGTCCAAAGATTTTTCAAAATCTGACTGACCTTTCTTGACAAGAAGCACTGAAATTCAAAATGTTAACCTTATCAGTTTCTTATGAATAAGCACGAGCTTTGCTACAAAGAACTGGCTTTCAAGGCTTCTTTGTGAGTTTGTTGTTATGAGTATGTTTCTGTTAAGGTCTCGCAAACTGGAATCAATTTTGCAACGCAGCCGACCAACCAAGAATCCCTTGAAGCGAGTAAGGTGTCATGACAAAACCTTAACAACAAAACTGGTTGCAGATCAGAAAATTTCTTGAAAATTTAGTTTGAGCGTGAATTTCTACCCGAAAAAATATATCTAACAACGAGACATATTTTGAGCTTATATGTCATATAAATAAGTTTTCATAATTTAAAAATTACTTCTACTACACTTTGTGTTAAGGATATATTTATCAAAAAGAGAAATTCTACTTTACTGTCTAGAAAATATTACAAGATAAGAAAAATTAACTGAATAGATTAAGATGCAGTTATCATGAAAAATATTGTAAACAGTTGAATGCCAGCGTTACAGGAGCATGCACCAATTGAAGTTTGATGGGTAATGCGTGAATTATTTAAGTTCATCAGAAAAGTGAATTTTTCATATTGACGATTCTAGCAAGACTTTCATGTTACCTCGCAATCTATTAAATGTTTGATATTCGTATAAATAGGAGCATCTATTTGGCAAGCACGTCAGAAATGGAAAAAGCTTAAACAATCAGTTATTTGGCATTGACAATACCACAAGGAAGCACAACGCATTTTTTTGTAGAAACTAAGTTAGTTGGGATTTAGAAAGCGTAAAAATTCTGTGTTCACCCCCTGATTCACATTTGTTTGTTATCTGAAAAAATATGCGCAAAAACAGTTTCGTCGGCACTAAAAGAACTTGCTGCATCATAAAAAATTCAAAAGAGGAACGCATTTCTTCGAGTGAAGCGCAAAACGCGAGATATTGCAGCAGTTTTTCAGAAAACTTAAGCAAGATCTGCTAGTTTTCTGTGCCGCACTTGCAAATTGCGCTGAGAATTCGCACTGTATTGCGATTAAGAGCCTGCCACTCTCTGTACTCACTCGGCAACTGTTTTCATAGTAGTGACAATCCTTTCCTTAAGCTGTTGTGCACCATCTACTTAGCTTACCTACTAATGAGCATGGCAAATTTAACAGAAGGTTCTCTGCGACTATATTCAGAGATAAAATTCAAATAAACAGCAAGGATTATTCTAACGTCCATTTTGAAAGTCATCAATAACACGTCACTTGGTTTAATTCTTTATAGAAATTTTTTCTAATTTTTCAATGCAGCGTCATTTCTTTTTGGGCCAAGGACTTCTACAACGAGTCATCACACGTATCCATAGATTGCATATCAGATGTAGATCTGCTATTTTTATATTTGATAGCGACTCGAGGATGCTTGAAAATACCGCTTTTAAAAAGAGCATTCATTACTTGATGAGTGATTCAAGCTGACTCTTACAAAGAACAATAATATATGACCACAGTAAGGCTAACCATACAGTTAAAAGCACCTTTGTTACTACGTTATAACATATTGTATAAAATATCTTGTCTTGTCTTTCAAGTCAACTTTTTAGTGAAAGTGTTAGCCCTTTTTAAGCTGTTACCACCTTTTTGCAAAACTTTATACAAAATTTTTAGTTTTATTAAAGTGTTTTTGAAACCACAGTTAAACATGTTCTTTTTTAAACAAATTCATTTTGGCATTCATTTTAAAATAAAAATTCAAGCGTAAGCTACTTGTCATCCAATATTCTTTATATATATCATGAATATGTTATTTACCATATATAATCCATTCCTTCCTCTTGTTTATTTCTTCTCTTAATTTTATACTTTATAATCCCATCCGAGCATTGCTCATTTCAATTGCTTGTTGCTGTTAACATTGTAGTTTTATTCCAGATCCCATCATATTGCTAAAATCTTTCATTGTGCCCATTTTCATAACCCCATGTGCCCATGTTGACATTGTTGACATGGTAACACATGATCATATAAAAACTAAATTCTAAGGTCATTTTTCATAAAATTTTTAATGCATATCAATTCAAACCATTTGCCTATATATCGTTCGACAATTACAATATAAAAACATTGATTGTAGCTATCAGTGAAAGATAAGAAAAAAATCAGTGTTCCAAATAGAAAAATGAAGTTTGAAGATGGCACAAAATGGCTGCAATGTTTCCTTTTTTCGTGCCAGTTTTAAATTTTTCGGTATCAAAAACTAAAAAAGGAAATTGTGATAAACTCTTTCTTGTTCCTTGCTCTTAAAGAATCATTCGAAAGAATAGGTTATTAATCTCCCAGACAGCCTTAGTCAATCATCATCCAAGCGATGATTTGTATTTGTATTTTTAGACGTATTTATTTCTACTTAGCATCGAAAGGTAGTTTTTGGACAATGAGAAGCTGTGCTCATCGAGCAGTGTCCTGGTCCTTCTTATCGCTGTAACCAGACCACGTAATCTCTACGCCTAGAATTATAGAGAGCTTGCGACTCCCCTCACTCTGGGTGAAAGGTTGGTCGTGCCAGGGACGCAAACTCGCGAGCCTTGGGTCTGTAGCCCACGATTCTAACTGCTGCTCAATCCTTGCACCATGATAGTTTACGACTGTACATAATGATACAAATTGACCCAGACTAGAATTAATCATCCAACTACCTTTGAAAAAAGGATTCTTGTCCTTTTCTGGCTTCAATAGCCATTGCAATAACAAGATAATCATTTATAGGAAAGTGTCACAATATGAATAAACGCCTTTAATCTACAAATTACAGTAATTTGCTAGCTAGAGAAGGTGGCCACCTATAACGTAAGGTGATTGTTTAAAAAAGCGTACAAGGTTTGTTCCGTTTTGCATAGAAATTCATACAATGAAAACAATACTGCTTGCATCTTACAATAAAAATAGGCAAAAATATCTTCTTATTTCTTTCAAAACATCAAAAATTACTGAATAAATTTTAAGTCGACTTATTTTCAGAACAGTACAATTTTTATTGGTTACAGCCTATATCATTCGTAGAATACAAATATCGTAACAAGCTTACCAATATTATAAGTGTCTGCAGAAGAAAAGGAAATGTTTGCTGTCAGGACAAGTCCGGCGATGAGAAGAACCAACGAGCTCATATCGTTCTGCAGGAAGATAAAGTTGTTAAATGTTTATTTAGTGATTGTATTTTATTCATAAATCTGTCTCTTTCATAAGCAGCAAGATAATCTTTATTTAAAGTAGCAAAATACACCATCATACTAAAAAGGTCATTTTCACAAAATCTCATTTGACGTGGAATTTTGCAGCAGGTTTAGGTAATATTTTTCAAGACCTAAAAGTTGATCAATTTTGAAATGTACAGTTTACAATCTGTAGCAAAAAAAGCAATCTAAGACTCAAATGACGACAGGTAGCGTTATAACCATGAAAAGACACAAATTTAGGCCAAATGGATAAGTAAATGGTGATTGTACTAGAGTATTGCATATGAAAATCTATACCTGCTTCGTGTCAGCATATATACAACTTAAATCAATGGATTTCTGTCTGCTGAAACATCTTGATAATTTTTGAACATCCGCTAAATTGGATATGAAGGCTACCAAAGTTGGTAAACAGAAATATGATAAGATCACAAAGGTCTTAAAAAATAATTAATTGAACTAGAAGCATATGCATTCAGTAGAGTACATTTTGCCTAATCGACATAAGCTGCAAGGCTAATTCATGGTTTTAGTTTTTGATTACAGTTCAGTGCGAGCAAACATATAGAAGATTGTGTGCAACCACATATTAACGCTCATTAATATGCTGTAAAGTAGATGCAATCAGAATGAAAATACAGGAATGCATGTGAATTTTGGTTTTTGCAGAAGCAATAAGGTAAGCGGTAACGGTAAGCGAATATGTGAGAAATTAAGCATAATTACGTCTTTACAGCCATCACCTGCTTGAAAAGAACTTGGCAATCATAAGTTAAATATATATATATAGGCCTAGTAAGCTCAAAGGATGATTCCACTTTCTCAGTGATGTCATCATATTTGCCGGTCCATCTCTATTTTAACAGTAACCTCAGTTGATTATTGAATGTCATTTGAGTAGATCATCTTATCTTATCAGGAGTAGGGAAAATAGCCTTCCTAAACCCTCCTTTAAAAACGACTGTTTCCAACCTTTTTTGAAATCTCCCATTCAGAAGAAAAGCTTATACTAGAGAGTTGCTTCAAATAAACCATTAGATAAACGATTAATAAGAAAATATGTTGGTGAATTTTAAACTCTATATCCATTGCAGTGCACCTGAAGATTTAACTGTTGAAATTGCATAATTAATATTCTCCATGGTTCACAAAGGTCAGTTGATCAAATTAAAGAAGGGATTTATCAACAAAGTTGTTTCCACATACCCATTAACCTCAAATTGAAAATATTTTTTTCAAATTTATCAATAATTTATGTTGGTATCCATAACCCTTTCTTCTATAGCTACCAAATCATTTTGCAACGTTTTTTCTTTGCAAAACAACCAAAAATAATTTTCATGTCCACAAAATACGCTCTTGAGGTATTAAATGACAGAGAAACGTTTTTACATGTATATTCCTAAGGCGTTGTCTGGACTTGTGAAGCAAAACAAGATCACGGTCTCACGAGTAAAATTTGACATTTTCGTCGCTTGATGCTTTCCAGATACAACATTGCATCTCTTTCGCATAATGCTTGGTATTATCTCTTCCACATGCCCTAAGACAGCTCTATTGGCTAGCTAGTTACCCTGCAATCGTCTTGCCCGACCGACTCTGGCCTTACAAACTTAAACACATGCTATTTAAAAGTATTGTAACAAATTTTTGAACAGGAATTGAATAAGCTGCATTAGCTAAGACAATCAATTTAGTAACCTGTGTGACCCAGCTAAGCATAGTGAGCTTTTCCATCTTACATGATTCTCTATCATATACTTTGATCAATTTTTCCAGTTTAGCAGTGGCGTAGCAAGGGGGGGGGGTGCATGAGGAAGCGGACGCCCTTCTAATGACAAAAAAGTATATTTGAGAAAGGGCGTTTTCTGGCATTTTAAAGGGTGTGGTCTCCCATTTTTCTCTCGTTCAGCCAGCCCCTCCTGATCGTGATACACCGGCTATGCTACTGCAATTTAAAAATTTTTGGACTCAACTTAAATGGCCATTTTAATCTTTCTTTTGGAGAAGGAGGTCAAGGGGTGGTGGGTGTTAGTAGTCATCTCTCTAATGAAGAAACAAACATCCTCGTTATCCATCCAAATTTGACAAAAAAAGCGTTTATGGGCAAGCAGAAACATAATTCGAACAATGCGCAAAATTACCCGTCCTAAATTGTCAGAATTGATAAGTTCTTCTCGTTATTAGTTCCCTAAAGATTGATCATGTAACGTTAATTGCAATAAGTACCTATTCTTTTAATTAATTGTCTGTTTTCTCATGCGTATATGCAATTAGATGTGCATGCAGACGGTACACAGTGTTGTAAAAATGTAGAGTAGGGTGGAATGGAAAGAATTCCATGACATGGAACGCAAATGACAAGTACGCTAATTTTACAATCTACGAAAAGTTAACAATTTACAATCTTCTCTCCGAAATTCTGCGTCAACTTCTACAATCTACAAGCTGATTAAAGTTTTGACTAAGCCCTAACTCGTCACTTATTAAATATTTGTTGAAAAAATCTTTAAAAGATATTTTTAAGTGGAAACTTTTTATTTGTCACATAACTCAAAGTGAGACATTACTGATTTTCGCGATTTCGAAAAGCTTTTGGTGTTGCGAAGCACCCAAAAGACAAGTCAGTACAAGTACAGATAGTCTAATTAAAGGGAAAATTGCATTTTACCTTATTTTTTTTAATTTTTTTATTAAATTCTTATTTCAACACGGTATTTCATCAGAAACCTAAGTACATAAAAAAATAATAATTGAAAACAGAAATTTAAACAATTATTTGATAATATGAGTGAATTGAATTTGACATCTGATCTTCTTGGGAGTCGTGTTTTAATTCGTGTTTCCTGAGCTTTCAAATGAGCTTTTAATTGAATTGATAGAGCGAGGGAATCTCTCTTAGTTCTATGGCTATTTCGTTCCAAGCTTTAAAGGGCATCTGTCGTGAACATGATTGGTTAATGCAATACAATTATCTCTTTTGTTTAGTACAAAGCATGGAATCGAGGGTGAATTTTTACGGCAGTAAAAATTATTTAAGAAGAAATAAAAGTCACCAAACAATGGAATTCCACTCCAAATGCTTTTGTTTTATTAGCCAACTGCTAATGCGACATATGCCCTTTAAGCCCAGAGAGGTGGATTCCTTTTTTTTGTACACTCAACTTAAATTTAGGGATGTCGAGATTTCTATTGTTTTTTGCGCTATAACTAAAAATTTAAATCCTCTGATTATACTTGTTCCAGTGGCTCTCAGGACACTGCTTATTAACTATTTTGTGTGTCATTATAGATCTATCTAAAGAGATGATCTGATCAACGCTTAGCCAACGTTGTAACAATAAGCACTGTTAGCCGGTCTGTCGCAGAGTTATCGATATGCCAAAAACCAGAGCTATATTTGCTTTAGTTTACAAAAAAAAATTTTAGAACAAGATGCTAATCTGTGTGTCATGCCTAATGCAGACATAAAACAATATTTAGATATACGCAACTGCAGGATAGCTTAGACTTAGCAAAAGGAAAAATTGGGAAGTGATATATAAGACACTGGATGTAATCAAGTAGAATGTCATAAAAATGCATTGTTTCAATTGCTGTATTGGAATAGATCTTCAATCAAGAGAGAAACATTTTCCAAACCCTGGCCAAAGAATTCTTGCCAGTATAGAACATTATTGACGATGGAATCCTTTTTAAACCTAAAACTGAATAGTTGCGAACTGTTGGAACTCTTGACCAAATAAAAACACATTTACTTCATGCTCAAAGATTTCCTGACACTTTTCGGAAATGGATCACGACTGTAGCTAAGCAACAGTAACATGGATAATAAAAAACTGTATTACGGTAAACAGATATAAGGCTCTTTATGAATTAATACCGAACTGTCTATTAATTTTGGCTACGTCATATGGAAATACGTGTTTAAGAAGAATTTTCATATAGCACCTAAGGTCCTTTTCAAAAATTTATTGTGTGATGTAAATAGTTGGCTCTTGTTATGTGGAGGAATTTTATTCCGGCATACCACATGATGGTACCAGGAGCACAAATTGAAGTAAAGTTATTAGACAACTGCATATTGCCTGATGACCACTGCACTTTTGAAAGGTAAGTCAAATTGCTTAACGATACCATGTTTATATCAAAGTTATATTGGTATTTATGTTAAAGCTTTTCGTATTCTGTAAGATAAATTTTTCAACGTGATGGCACCAACAATCCATGTATTCAGAGCAAAATATCATGAACAAACATTCTGATATTGAAAGGAAGTCGGTAATGACTAGATGCCGAAAAGAGTTTAATAAAGCATAGCACTTGGAAAGCCTCTCGTTTTCATATACGATTAGTTGAAAATAACCAAGCATTTATTCAAAATTAATTCAGAAATATTCTACTCAATTCGTTTCATACGGCTGAATTTGTACCTCTGTTAGAACCATTTCTCTAGTGTGTTGAATGTGAAGGTAAAGAAGAATTTTTCCAATTAATAATTGCTCTACAATAATCATTCAAAAATTTTTAACAATGCCACAGTTACTTATGAACGGCTTAAGCACTGATCAGTTTGAGAAAACTTTGAGAGCAAAGGCTTGTCTCGAAGAATCTCAGGTCTTTTTCAATTAGATCATCAACATAAATTTGCATGAGTATTCTCTCCTGGCAAGCCACCAAAATCTCATGTTTGTTTTTTGATCGCTCATGAAACATTTTGTTGCAATTTCTCTGTCTGTTTGTTTATTTGTTGCAAAAGCTTTTTATTGGTAAACTTTAAAGGTTTTCAAATTTTCTAATCTTCAAATCAAGACATCAAAATAAAGATTTATCGCGAAAGCAGCTTTGACATAATCTGGGAAAAAAACGGTAAATTAATTCTATCGACCTAAAAACTCGTGAAGTTCGATGGGAATTACGCTATTCAAATAAAAAGTGTTTTGTTTGATTAAAAATTTTGAAAATCTCTTACTTTCTGTAAACTTTTTCAGTTTATAAAAGATATAAGTTACAAAGGAAAGAAATTAGAGTATATGTACTCATACTCGCAATGCAGAAACAGAGCAGCATGCCATTCGCCAATAACATTTCTTTTTTACAAGCAAACCAAAGTCTTCAAAAATCTGGCAAAATTATCGCTACGAGTCAACAACAGGTGTGCAAAAAAGTTATAAATATTCTTACTTTCTAGCCAAAAAATAGATATTGTCCCTCATTGTATGATTCCAGTGCAAGTGTAGGAAAATATGTCGAAGCATGATTGATCACAAAGAGGTGAGGACTTTCTTTCAATACCTATGCATGCATAAGCTTTCATTCACAAGAAGAGACCGCAAAAAGAGAATTAACGTGGAAGGATAGGCAGCTTAGGTAAGATTTGAAGCAGCGTAGATTTTCCGTCTTCATAGCTCAGAACTTGTTAATCCTAGTTGCAATTTATTTAGCGCGAAAAACAATACAGAATTTATATGACGTTAAACTATTGAAACTATCTTGAAAATAGAGAGTACTCACCGAATCTAATGTAAGCCAAAGATTGAATGTAAATATGTTCAAACTCCAATTCAGAAAATAAGAAGCACTTGCAACGAGTCTTGAAAATATGTATGATTGGCAGTTTAATCCAACATCATTTTGGTTCCTTCTCTAAATGCATAAGGCCTAAAAGGAGTGATGTGTATTATAACTAATAGGATTTTAACCTGGCCAGAGACGTGACCATATGCTACTTACACTTTGGTTATGCCTTTGATCACAACTGAATTCATTAATAGTAATGGAGAAAAACAAAGGCCCAACAAGCGGGAGAGTAACCCTCGCACAACAGCCAGATGTTCTCAAGGATCGCACATAATCACGGGGGAGTGTTAGAACAGAGGTAAAAAGGCTTATCTAGGCAAAAATCCTTAATGCACGAGATGCTGGTACAAAATTAGCCAAGAAGGACACAAGGTTTCCAAAGCGACAACAGCAAGACCGAAGAGATACATCATTTCTGGAACAGCATGCTTCGAAAAGAAATTTAATAGTTTTGCTAAATAGTACCTTGATGTGTCTTTAGGCAAATTGAACGAGATATCAATTAGCAACTAAATTTCATTTTCAGCTTTTATTGAATATGGCATCAGTCTTATTTAGCGATCAAAAAAATGCAAATTGAGCGAACATTGCATAACAACAACAGGCCAATCGTCATGACAACGTTTTACGACAATGGCAACTAATTTGTCGGCAAAAACATTATCAGTTTCTCGATTGAAGTTTAATCCTGGATAGCAGTTTTAGAATAAAAATTGTAAAACAGGCAAATGTGGTAAACCACACAGGAAAAAGTAAATTTGATGAAACATTAAAAGCAATCTGGATTTTTCTTTGAAAAATCTATACTATAGGGCATAAGTAAAATTTGTTTCTTCTAAAAACAAAAGCAATGAAAATTTCTCTGATAATGTAGACTTTATCTCGTTGCAATAGGATTGAAGAAGCTATTCAAATTAATCTATGTATGCGCAAAAAATTTTCTTTTCTGAATAAGAAGAAATAGAACATGCTAAATTGCACAACCAAGTAATTATGGTGATTTTAAAAATGTTGCACAGCGCAGGATACTTCTCTTAGAAATAAAAAAGGTATGAAAGAAATCAAACAAAAAAGGATATTGTAAATAGAGCTATTTGTTTCATAAACACAGCTAAAACGATGGAAATTCAAAAACTTTGTCTCTCACTTACAGCGAGATAATAGCCTTTGAGTTTCATCTTTCATTTTAGTTGTATTGAGAGAATTTGAGAATAGTAACAGAACATCTTGCGAAAAAGAAGTAAAAAATTTCTGTTTATTTCTGAAATACAGTCTCTTTTTTGTAATGCGTTTTTTATTTGACTGTGTCGACGCAAAGTAATCTGACCAAGAAACAAATCAGAGCAAGTTTGAACGACAATATGGCTGATAGGCTAATCTGTACAGCAGGGGGTTTACACTAACTTAATGGCTTCGGAAGTTTAATTGTCCTTTTGAGAAAGAGGACACAACAAGCTGGTATTTTCTAAAGTATTAAATGATTATATGATAGCCTTTCCAATGCAACAAATCGCCATCACCAGGTTTGGTTTTGGGGTAACCTTCTTCCCTTTTAATTTGATTATGAATGCATCTTTGTAACAACGCATGCAGACAAACAAAACAAAGTAACGTGCATTATGAAATCAAAATCTGTCTATCGGTTAAGTTTCAAAAGACGTATTTTTTCAAGAAAGGTATTTCCTCGAGAATTGTATCTGTTTCATCAATCAAGGGTATGCAAGAGCTGGATGCAATCACTACATTCTCGTCTTTCTTGTACTCTGTTATGGCATCTCAATATGGGACAAAGAGTTTGCTATGAGTGTTTGTGGAAAACAATTGAATGGCCTAAAAACAATGGATTCATGTTGTGGGACTTTTGTGGATCGAATATTTCTTATCGATTTGGCCATATTAAGGTGCAAAACGTTTCGTGAGAAACAGCCAACAAATATTGAACATCACTAAAGTATCATTCTTCACCATTTTGCGAGATCTTGTTATCACCAAAAAACTCTGATAAGGGTCTAACTCAATCACCTCCTGGTCTTTGCATTCTCGTAAGCTTGAAACAAATGAAGCTTCAACACCCACACAAATTGTCGCTGATTTACTGTCCTACTGTTACGTTTTGCAGCATTTCTGAACCAAACACGTATGTCCATAGTCTCACGTTCATCAAAAAAGACTGTATGGCAAGAAACATTCAGCATTTTTAGAAAATACAAAAATGTATGTATTTTAACATAAATTGTCTGTTTCTATATAAACAGAAAACCTTCCCTTCAAAATTGCTGCTTAAAAATTGTAACCATTAAACGCACGCACCTTCTCTCGTCATTTAAATATTAAAAAGTTAAATATACTATAAAGGTGACATTAAAATACAACACAATTAGGTTATTGAACGATATTAAAACTCTAAATGTAATCATGATAACATTTTGTATATCAATATTGTAAATATTCTATGGTGTTTAAAAGGTTAACACTTAAAATTTGTAAACTCTGTGAACTTATTTAATCAACATCTCTAGCATCAGCAATTAGAGGGCTTTTCGTTAGCTAGATTTCGAGTGCTATGCCACAATATACGATCAAACTTTTACAAGTACGATATCCTTCAGAATTAAGCTATTGAAAACCGTTTACCTTCTCGCATGCTCCTGTCATTCAATTAAGCCCTGACCTTTATAAATGAGTAGGTATTTGTTGTACTCTGTGTTTGTACCCACCGGTCAATGTCCTGCATACAACAGGAAGATATGAGCTCACCTCATGTCAAGCAAAGAATTAATTTCACGGCAAGAGCCATGTAACACGCAAGGAATATTCTTTGAGCGGTTTTCACCCATTGGCAAAGATGTAAACAGTTTCCCAAACTCTTCATCGGATAATACTCTTCTTCACAGGAACGAATCCAACTACATTCGAGAATCATCGTATTAGCCTAAAAAACAAAGCATAAAGGTCACACAACTAAGAATTAATACCTCTCTTTATCTTCTTAAAAACCTTTAATTAGAGTAAAGATTGGATGCACAAGGCGTAAAAGTTACCTCAAAATCCCAGCCTAGAATATGTACTCTTATACATAATTAAATGCAGCTTTCTGGAGTTTCTCATACTAAACAAATGACTTGGATTGGGTGAGATTCCAGCTTCTATTATGGGCGCCTTTAAAAACGCAAAAATATTGTCACATATGCAGCTTTCTGTAACGTAAATATAGTTTCAATGATTCATGTTGTGATGTTAGTGATAAGGCAGAGAGGATTTCCTAAAGCAATACCAGGAGATTGCAATACAAGACGGTTTCCAGGGACATGGAGTATGGTGTCCTATGTAACGTTTGAGATTATGTCTTCTGTTACCCTGAATTTCTGGGTCCTATTTCTCCTGTTTCGAAAGACTTCTGGATGCTTAACTAATAAAACATAATGATGCCAGCTAGTTAAATGCGCAGAAAGGATACCAGCAACAGATTAAACGATAGTTTAAATCATAATAAAAGCTCCATTAGAAGGATGCCTCCTAATGACAGAAATCAATTCTATAGCAAATCTTTTCGTTTGGTCAAAGTTTTGTGAACGTGTCCTAAGATAGAGACGATATCCTAACCGACAGTACCACTGTCATGCCTTGGAGCGTCCGCTACATGAAGTCTTCATTGCAGTACTCATGTGCAGGGGCATAATGTGCCAGGGTGTGGGGCGAGGGTGTGACACCCCCAACTTCCAGAGAACTCGTCGGTAGATTTATATTTTCAACAAAGTGATTTTATGCCAAATGTAACAAAAGGAATTCTGTCGGTAAAATATGTTTTTGCATCTCTCACCACAACCCCCCCCCAGCGAGAAAGATCACACTACGCCACTGTCCATGTGATATGAGAAACTGAAAGAAAGCTGATCCTTAATTTCGTAATCAGAAATCTGATCAATCTTTCACTAAAAAGTTATGAAAAAGTTGGAAAATTGGCTGCTAAGTAATGCTTTACAGATGAAATAGAAGAACTTTTAATGAAATAGAAGGAAGACGCCTTTTTTCATGCAACAGACTCCTGGCCGGCCAATTGTTGAAATTTACCTTGCCAAATTTCTTTGATAAAGGCTGTGTGAGACTCGCGTTACACCTGCTAATCTTTGTTTTCAAAACAAGGCCTTTTCCGCATTCAATTATATGTAATATTCATTTCTATCAACTACTGTTAGATAATCAAATAAGTTGCATATTAAATAACAATGTTTAGTACTCAGATGGCTTGAGATCGCATGTCATCTCAAAAGAGTTTGGGCAATTAACTAAAAGCGCGGGATTATATCTATTTATTACGCGGGATTACACGCATACTTTTATACCTACTCTATTCTTTATTGCATATGAGATTCTCAGAGTACCGTACCAACAACAGGATGTTTTCAAAGCCAGAATGGACGACAAAAGAAATTTATGTACATGTAGGATAGATGACATAACATTAATAATGTCCTTGTTATGCATTAAACTGTTTTAAATAGATGGGTTTTAGGGACATGGTTTGTATGCATAATGATGCAGTTGTCGCTAGAAAGCTTTTAAAATGAGATCATAGTCAAAGAAACCTGCAGAGAACAAGTGGTAATTAAGAGATTATGTTACGCTACCAAAACAGCACAGCTGCATACTACAGACCATCGTATATGCCTGCTGTATATATATAAACAAAGATTACGGGACATGAAACGTAATGAAACCACATTCTTTGGTTCTCTCATCTCAGTTGATAACTTGTCTGCTTAATTTGAACCTAGTATCGGCCGAAAAACACGAAAACAACCAATTGTAACCTCCCCTTTAGAGTATTGCAGATAAACGTACAGCTTGTTAAACGAAATAAACTCAGAGAAAATAAAAGAAAAAGGAATGCAAACATTTCAAACATTTCTTAGAAAAAGGAATGCAAACATTTCAAACATTTAGCTGGTTAAAATATCGAGGCTCCAAAATGCTAAAAGTTAGAAACAAATTGAGAAAAATAGCCCGACTCAAAACAATGATCTGAATTTTCACACAATTATTAAACTTTAGTGTTATTTAAAGCAGTAATACCTCCCCCCTTGCTTAAAATATTCAAACATTCAAAGACCCTTGAAAACTCGAGGAAGATCCGAATAATATCAAGTTAACAACAATTGGAGTTCAAATTTATTTAGAGACAAAAAGTTCAGCCGATGAGTTTATTTTTTGCGAAAATCTTTTCAAAAGCGTAAAAATTATTCATAAAACTGTCCTATAAATCTCATGTGCAAAATTACATCTTCATTCTCTAAAACCGACTCTTGCCTATATTTATTACGTCATATCTATGTTACTATTGTAGTGAAACGAACTATACATTTGGCAGGGCTGCAAAACTAAGACGTACAGTACGATAACCATGACGTAACAAGTTGCCAGAAAAATTTATTTCTTTGTCTTGG